AGGAAATGGAAAATGCCCTGATGAAATTGAAAAATGGAAAGGCGCCAGGCCCGGACGGAATCCAGTCAGAGCTGTTGAAATGTGGAGGTGAAGAACTTAAGAAAGCTCTGCATGATTTAATGCTGACCATCTGGGAGAGGGAAGCTATGCCTACGGAATGGGCAACAGCCATTATCTGCCCAATACATAAGAAAGGAGATCAAACAGAATGCGCTAACTATCGAGGAATCTCACTCCTTTCGTGTGCTTATAAGCTGCTCTCTAACATTCTTTTTGAGAGGATTCTCCCGTATTCTGAAAAGGAACTGGGGAAATATCAGGCTGGATTTCGAAGAGGACGTTCAACCACTGATCAACTGTTCTCTCTGAGGATGATCCTAGAAAAGACTATGGAGCATAAGGTAGTCACCCACCATTTATTCCTAGACTTTAAAGCAGCATACGACAGCGTTGATAGAACGCAACTATACTGTGCCTTGGAGGAGCTAAGCATCCCTCAGAAGCTCGTACGCCTAATCAGGATGACCATGGACAGCTCGAGATGTAGAATACGCGTCGGTTCTGACGACTCCGAAGAGTTTAAAGTGAGCAGTGGGGTTAGGCAAGGGGATGCCCTCGCCTGTCTATTGTTCAACTTGGCAGAGGAGAAAGCTGTAAGAGACTCCGATATTCAGACCAACGATATAATCTTCAATCGCCTGACACAGCTTCTTGGTTTTGCTGCTTGCTTTTTGGACGATGACCAAAAACGATGAGATGAAGCTGAGTGTGTTTGAGCGAGGAGTCCTCAGAAGGATTTAAGGTCCAGTAAAGGAGGGTGATGTCTGGAGGAAAAGAAAAAATAGGGAGCTCAGTTCCCTCTATGCAGACATCGACGTAGTCACCTATATTAAACTGGCCAGACTAAGGTGGGCAGGGCATGTGGCCAGAATGAGCACCGTTGAGATACCCAAGAAAATAATGATGGAGAAGCTGCACCTCGCAAGACGGGTAGGAAGGCCGAGGACGAGGTGGTTGGACAACGTGGCCTATGATGCGAGAACCCTGCTTGGTGTACGGAACTGGAGAGCTGCAGCAGAAGACAGAGCCAACTGGCGGAGGCTCTTGGAGGAGGCCCAGTCTCGGTAACGGGATGTCGTGCCACACATGATGATGATGATGATGAATAATAAAAAATAGTTTTATATTACATTTCTTCTTTACCTTATTTATTTTGGTAGGAAAATGGTTAGTTTACTATTTAATATATTAAATAGACGAAAACGAATGTAATAATAACAAAACAGTTTGGTTAATAACATCAATAGCAATTATAACTTTTTTAAACTTTTTTATTGAAAGATATTACAATCAGTCTCAAGGACATTTATAATAGTGTTTAGAGGTCACATTTACACTCTATGTACAATAAATAAAATAAATTATACAGAAAAATAATATATATACGATAAATAAGAACCCAAAAACAAATACATAAAAAGAACACATACATACCTATATACAATATTTACAATCTGGCGGGAGAACTCCAAAACAGACTTGTATCTCCAACTATAGAGGGAAAAGTATGACTCCACGAGATTCCTGCACTTCTCTCTCAACAGCGTCACTGGGGCTTAACCCAGTGGAGATTGAGCAAGAGTGCTTTAGCCACATACACTCATGTCCAAATAAAATACTTAAAAAATGTCATTACCAAGTTGAAAACTCGTTTCATTCCCATAACCGAATTATTAGATTTACTTACATTAGTTACTGAACAAAATACACTTTTGACCTTGGCCATTTGCTCAGATAAAGCTGAGCTACAATAGAAGGTGTGAGTATTTAGAAAATTTTATTTAGATCTCGTCAAACTTTTTAAAATTTCATCATGAAAATCCCATAATCTGAGAAGCACCCATATACTGAATTTTCTAAGCACCTTGTGTTTCTTGTTTTCGTTTGTTTGTGGTTCTATTATTTTTAAAATGTCTAAAACATGGCTTAAAGTAACTATTGTAAGAGGATATCGACTGCAACAACAGATGGGTAGAAATAAACTAATTAAAGCTGAATGCAGATAAAACTAAGACTGTTCTCATCGGGTATAAGCATCTCATTAGCTCCCGTTGGTGACTATTTTTATATAGTTGTCTCATGTATTAGATTTGCCGGGCAACGGGGGTGCTGTGCACACACGTTAGCCCATTCGGCCACCTAACCCCCAGAGAAACTCATGAACTGTTTCATAAGATACATCTTTGGGATCTCCAGGCGTTCACATGTTCCTTTCAGATACACTGAGTTGAAGTGGCTTTATCCTACTTCTCTTAATACCATGTATCAACCTGAAGATTTATACATCCCCTCTCATAAAACTACTTCTACGTGATTAGTTAAGTCTAACTTGATTTTTTCCCCACTGCTATACGGTGAAGAAATATTTCTTCATAATGAAATATTAAAAATTAAAATATTAATGAATAGTGTGGTTTTATTATTACTTAATATACTAAAATTTCATTACCTTGGTATTAAAGGAATTCAAGAAATACATTAAGGTCTGTGTAGTGGAAAATAAGAGAAAAAATCTGGTGCGCGCAACATAAAACATTCAGTTACCACTCAACTTTGAAAAGAAATTATTTCCTGACAATGCTGGGCTATTATAAAATATTTGAATAGCATTTTTAACCGAGCTAAAGCTAAAATCTCATTGCTAACAAATTACGAATACCATTTTTTTATATTATTTTTTTTTATTGATGATATTTACAACTGTATTACAAGTAAAAATACATTCAGTAAATGTGAACAAAGGAATAAAATAGCATGAAATCACATGTTGAGAAACTACCCATTGGTAGCACTATAAAAATGTATTTACAAAAGGAGATCTTGAGACCATCTTCTTTTCATACGCCTCGGAGGGTTGTCAGGGATCGAGGAGGAAGCAAGGTTAGAAACGAGAGGGTTGGGATGGTTCTGAAGTTTTTTATGGAAGGATAGGTATCTGGATTGGGCTAGGTCACAAACATAAGGAACATTAAGGTCGCTATGGATGATTTTGTTTGTGACAAAGTAAGGAGCAGTGAGGATTTTACGAAGGACTTTGGATTGTAAGGATTGGATACGAGAGGAATTCGATGGCTTAGTGGAGCCCCAGAGCTCAACTCCGTAAGTCCGAATAGGTCTTATTATAGTCATGTATATGAGTCTTTTGTAATTGACTGGGAGGTTAGAATGTTTGTCTAGTAAGTGCTGGAGTAGTCGGAAACGTCGAGCTGTTTCTTGTCGTTTCAGTCTGGTATGAGGATTCCAAGTTAGACGTTTGTCTAAGTGGAGTCCAAGGTATCGAATTTTTTCAACAGGGATAAGTCTGGTATTATTAAAGGATACTGTAGGACAAGAGGACATAGGTTTACGACGAAGGGTAAAGGTGATTTGATGGGATTTATTTTTATTCTCCAGTTTTGACACCACGAATACCATTAAAATAACAAAAGTCCAATTTAATACATCACCGGTTGATTATGAATTGCACGATCCGTTGATTATGGATTGTACGACTATAAGTCATTAAACTGTTATTTTCCATTGCAAAGTTTATTAAAACGGAATTAAGAGATTTGAATTGTCTGTCATAGACAGGTCAAAAAGTTGTCCTACTAATTAGAAGTGGATACAGTTGGAATATCAAAAAGGGAAAATTCATCAAATCATTCACTAATTTCATTTTCTAAAAGGTTGCATGGTGATTTTCTTGAATAAACGGACGATAGATGCCTCATTATTTAAATATATCAGATTTAGAGTTATTAAACTACAGTAAATATATTTAAAGTTATAAACGTATCCATGAATTATTTTTATGTTTCACTTCTTCTTTTACATAAGTATAATGAAATAGTGTTTTAAACAATGTCATTGCATTCCTTGGATTTTAAATACTTCTTTTGCAATCTTAAGAAAAATTTTAATGTTTATACTTAAAAAGAAAATTCCATTTAATTTCCCTGGAAACTTGAAATTTACGTTAAATAATATTAGTTTTTTGAAATTATTATTTATATTTTTTTCGCCACTCTCTGTTAACTTCCACAACTTTATTTATTCAAATACGTATACCTTCTGACTAGTAATTTCAGAGATTCATTTTCGACTTGGATAAGCATTTATATTTTTTCTCCGTTATTCAATTATCAAATTCTTTTTAAAGCTATATTTAGCATTATTTCGTAACTCTTAATAATGTGAGATGATTAATTATTTAAAATAAACCATATTAAAGGTATTTTAGAGGAAGACGTATACGAACAATGATACACCGAGTTTAATCAAAATTGTTCGAGCCGTTTTTTGAGAAAATTGTAAAAATGTGTTTCAGCGTCGAAATAAAGTGACAATTCCGGATAGCCGATTTTTAGGAAAAAGTTGTTGTCACTTCTAAGGCTTATATCTATTTTAAATACATATCAGTTTCGTATAACTTTACGCTTTTGAGATAGACTGCTAACATACAAACACACAGACCATTTTGAGGGACCTGATTATTTCGCCCTAGAGTACCTCAAAACGTTTATTTCCGGAGAAAAGTTGAAAACTAAAATTCGAACATTTTCCCTTACTATATTTAACATATATAGATAAATGAATGTAAAAGTGGACAGACAAGAGAATGATGGTTATTAAGAAGGCTGAGAAATGATATACGCGAGGTCCTTCGGTGGACATTTCTGTTTCTACTTCATTTTGTTATTCTTGTTTATAGCATATATGCACTGACCTATATTTCTTTGCTTTAGTGCCATTTTAAAACCATTCAACTCCATATTGTCTCACTTAATTAGATTAGCTTATTTAAGATAAGGCATAGTGGTGCAATTGATTTTAAATGTTCTTATAAAACATCTTGAAATCCTTAGAGTATTGCTCTTGAATTAAATTACCCTACTCAGTTTGCTTTTACATCAGCCATTCAGTGATATATATTTCGGGTGCAGTGGCGGTTGGTAGTCATAGTGTCGAAGAATCTATACAAGATTAAGGTAGGAGTATTTCTTACAATTTCTTTGCAATATTACTTACTTATATATGGAAAATTTTTGCGATCGTGAAAATTTTCGAATCTGTGTTTTCAACGGAGAACCACGTTTTGAGGTCCCCTGTAGTGTTGCCCGAATGGGAGACCAAGAGGAGACTTGGTCTTATAAAGTCAATTTTGGTCTAGGTCTTGTTCTTGAGCAAGAATCTCGAAACGGTCTTGCAGTTACCTATTAGGTTAGTATTATAGTGATATTACTGTATTTTTTTATATTGGGGAAACCTAACTAAACCCGAATGAAAAAATTGTAGAGTTAAATGTAAATTATATTGGTTATACCAATTCTTTATAATCAACCGGTGATATAATGTTAGCTGTAATATTTTAGCTTTAGCTCAGTTAAAAACGTAATTCAAAAATCGTATAATAGACTAACATGGCCAGAAAATAATTTTTATTCAAAGCTGTAAATGAAAGTTGTTTGTTGCGCGTACAAGATCTTTTAATTATAACAATGAAATTATAATTGTGTTTAAAATCAACGGGGTTAATAAAATAAATAATATATTTATACTCTGGTAAAGTAAACATACTAAATTTTGTTGTTTGGGTTTGGTAACGCCTAATTGTCTTTCGTGATGTCTTATGGAACTTTGATTTCAGATTTAAAATAATTCAAATTTAAAATAAAATAAAATTTAAAATAATTTTATTTTACTAAAAATTAATTCCAGAAGTGGTATGTAATGAATACAGAGAAAATCGAATTAAGCGAGTATAAATACCACACGTTTTGTCTGATTTCTAGTCTTTCTTTTTATTTTAAATAAGTTTATATATCTTCGATATATTTTAGAAATGGATAAAGAAGTTCTTGAAGTAGTCCTGAAGAAGTTAGACAGGGAGTCGAAGATCGCTTCTATCATAGATCTACAGTCGGTACCAGCATTGGCCAAAGGAGAGAATTATACATCGACCATCTTCAGGATAACTTTGAAAGTAGTCTTGGGCAATGGAAGGCAAGCCAAGAAGTCCTTCATCATGAAGAAGTTGATCACTGAAGGAGAAAGCGGAGAACTCCTAAAAGAGCTTAATATAGCCAAGATTGAAAGCCAGGTAAGAATATTCAAAACAGAATACATATATTGTTGAAGTAAAATACATAATAATGATCTCTCTTGCCTTTTGTCAATACTGAATTCTAATTTTATTTTAAAAACAATAAAATTTATAAAATCATCTAATCTCCAATATTTCTATCCACAGAAAATGAATCGCTCTCTTATAAATCGAAACGGTGTGAATATTCCTTCCGTTTTTATTGGGGGACTAGGTTATTTACACACGTGAATATTAAAACAAAACCCCGGAGCTGGATATAGACTTTTTGAGGGTGTTTAACTGTTGCTGGGAATTCGGGAACCTGATACTTTTGTGACACTGAGTGACAAGAAATAATAAAAATATGTATATCTGAAATGTGGGACTTAGTAAATACACTTTAAATAAATTGACTCACCTGGTTTGTTATTCTTCAATTGTGAGGAATATATGACAACTAAATAAAATGACTTTTCACTCCTGAATTATAAAACAATTTACTTTGACAACTGTAATAAATGAATCTATTAAAGTCTTATAATTGTAGGCTTGATACTCTTAGTATTCAGTGTATTAGGCTTCTCTTCTCAGGTAATGTCCTTTCACCTTCATGTCCCAGCCTCAAGTGAGTTCTCTTCTATCCAGCGTCCTTCTCCAGCTGTTGCTACCTGCTCCTTCCCTTGTCTTCTTCCCTCTTCGTAGATTGTTTATCGATATGAGACTCTTCAATGAATAATTTGTCCACTGCAGATCAACCTCCTATATATTCCTTCTCATTCCCTATAAATTACTTACTTAATAAAGATAAAAATTGCGAAATTCATTAATATATAATGCTTTCAGATATATTCCGTAGTACACAAAAATATGACCTACCTAATGGAAGAATTCGAAGACACCGATGAGTCTATTTGGTGTAAATTCATTCACTATGACCCGCAATACCATTCTATTCTGCTGGAAGATCTAAAAGTGATTAAACACATTTTTTTTTTCGTAGTAGAATAATATTAATTTAAAACTAATTGTTCTAATTTGTTTTCTTCTTATATTTAGGCAAGTGGTTACAGTTTGGTTCCTAGACAGAAAGGTTTGGATTTAGACCATGCCATCCTCGTTCTCAATAGTTTAGGAAGGTACCACGGGATGGCGAAGGTACTCGAACAGAGGGGAATCATCTCCAAAGATGACTATAAACCTTATACGTTGTTTACTGACTTAAAACTTATAAAAAGTTATCTCTACGGAAGTATTTCAATTCTTTCCAAGGTTATGAAGAATAGCTGGGGTCCTGATTGGTAAGATTCAGAATCTATAATTATTTATATAATATTTGTAAAAGCATATTTGATAATAATTTGTCGTAACAGAGATTGTTTTGACAAATTCATAGTTGAAGAGATTTTCTGAAAAAAGAAGGTAGCTTAATTCTGGGGAAGTTGGAATTACGTTTACTATTCTTATTTTTTTTTTTGTATTGTACCAGAAATTTATGATTCCAATCAATAGTTTTAAAGTTATTTCATCCATCAGTATAATATTTAATATGTGAAAGGACAAGCATGAAAATATATTACAGAATATGAAATGTTGTTCTTTACTCCTTTTTTTAATTGCTACTAAAGTATTTGCTTGAATTACTTTTTTCATACTCGAACGAAAAATAAATCAAATAATTTGTATTCCTTTAAGCCTTAAAATTATTTACTTAGATCAAATATTAATAAATATGCTACTTTGCAGGGAAGACACAGCAAATAAACTGAAGATACCATTCGATCAATTTGCTGCAAAATGGATGAGTATGGGAACGGTTTATACTGAGACAAACTTTACAGTTCTCAACCATGGCGATTGCTGGTCAAACAATATGATGTTCAAATATGACTTTCAGAAGCGACCAATAGATGTGAAGTGAGTGATTCTATAATAACCGATCATTTTGAAATTTTGAACTATTTAGTATTGGAATTACCTGTTTTTACAAGAAAGAAAATTGTTTTAAAGCATACAATAATTATACAGTTGAAGAGAAAATTTTGAAAAATATACAATCCTACAGCGATAATGGGGCGTGATTTCTGTACCCAACAGTTCCAGAACGAACAGTCAGAGGTTTCCCCCAGGTACCTCCCCGATAGGTCGATGGGATATGAACCACCACCCCCCCTTACCAAAAACTGTATTAGCTTCCTCTTCTTAAAAAGTGTGAAAGCGAAACTAGGATTAGACCAATCGTAGATAATATACAATTACACTTTCTGCCGTTTGTCCTCCAAGTTCTCTGATTTGAAACTTTTCAGTTAGAAAAGTCTCAGCCCCGTCGAAATGTACCCTCCTCAAAAATTGCTGCTCTTTGATCAATGGGAAGTCATCTACAAATGTTTTGGGACTTTTCAATTTTTTAATGTCCTCCAAGCAGCACTAAACTTTTGTCCATCAATGTAAGTGTCCACACACCATGCAGTTTTCTCCCAGTAGATATTTAATGCCTTCCTTCTCATAGCTTTTACTTTTTTTAAAGGCATTTCTATATTCTCTCAGGTCCTTCTCATTTTTCGAGCTCAACCGTTTATTGTATAAATATTTTTCTCTTGAACAGCCACTTCAGCATTCTCATTCCATGAAGGCTTGTTTTTTCCTCTAAACTCTTTCCTTTCCTCTCCGACAGCTTCTAAAGCTGCGGCATGCAGGCACTTTACTATATTTTCGTAATATAGTCGATCATTCAGACCTTTCTCATGATTCGATTTCTCCATCAGTCGGCTTTGGGACAGTCATTTTACTGATTCTTGATCTTTCATACTCTCAATTGAGTATCCAATTGTTTTCGAAGAGTCACTGGTCACTGGAGAGTTTCTAAGAAGATTATGAGGTTTAAAATGAACCACATTCCGCCCCTCTCATCACTGTAACAGTGTTCACCTTTATCTTAGTAGTGCGCCTGAGGATTATATAATCTATGATTGATTTTAGACCGTTAGTGGCCTGGTGCCAGGAGAATTTGTTAATTTCTTTATGATTGAAAAATCCACTTAATATTTAATAAAACTTATTAATTTTGCACCGTTATCGTTAGTTACCTCTTCTCCATAGCGTCCAACGGTCTCATCGTTGAACTTGCTACCAACATGTCCGTTGAAGCCGCCCAAACAATCTTACGGTCTATCAAGTCGCAAATATCATCGAAAAACGTGTCTTTTATGGTTTGCTTGGAATCTTCAGTTGGAGTATAGATCCCAAAAATAAAAACCTCTTCTCCAAACAATGCCATTTCAAGTTTAATTATCCTTTCATTTACACAATCATAATTCTTAATTTTAAATACCTGCGTAATCTTTTGTTAATCACCACTGCAACCCCTGCTCTAGCTCTCTCACTTTATTCCATTCCACTGTAGATATGCACGAAATCTCCTGAAAGTTCATTGTAACTTCCTTTGATTTTAATTCACTGATGACTGCCACATCGATGTTTTGCTTTTTCAGTTCATTTTCCACCTCTTCTTTGTAGGTTCTCAAACCTTGGACATTCCACGTACCCAAAAACATGTTCCGTTTCCGCGCCTTAAGTCGTTGCCGATTAGGTCCGTCCGGTTTTCTTTCTCTTTTGGTTTGAAAGCGAAATGTTTTTTTCCGATGAAGAGGTGCTGACCCTACGATCAACCTTTTTTAAACTGCAAGGGCAGTGGTGTGCTTTTGGGGTTGCTTTCCCCGAGACACGTTGCCTTCACTATGGCTATGAGTCCTGTCCACCCAGGTCGCAGTTTAACGTCATGCCCGGGACGATGAATCCTATTTCATAGATTAAATCATCAAGAATATAGATTGATTTCATAATATTTTTCAGATTTTTGGACTACCAAGGACCCCATTACAACACACCATGCACAGATGTTACCTATTTCATGTACGTTGGTGTACAGCCTCCAGTTCGTCGAAGCAACTATGAACTCCTGCTGAAGACTTACCACGACTCCTTGGTCAGAACTTTGGACAAGTTCGGTTTCACAGGTACAAAGCCAACTCTTGAAGAAATTACCGATACAATGAAGCGACTCGAATTCTTCGGACTGGCGTTTTTCGCAGTATTATACCCAACTCTCATCTGTACATCGTCAGAAGCTTTAGACTTGGAGAAGGTTCTAGCGACTGGAGGAGAAGAAGGGTTTAATGAAGATGTTTTGAGAGAACCTGGAATGATTGAAAAATTGGGACCGGATATAATTGATTTTGCAGAGAGGCACGCTTCTGGTTTAAATCAAAGTTGAACCAGTAGTCCATTAGTTTTGGGAATCAAAATGAAAAACCAAACCAGGTGGTTATGTTTATTTATAAATATGTAAATTTTGATAAATTATTACACAGAAGTAAGGGTAAATACAGTTTTTAGATTGTAAATAAAACAATCAATGGAAGATAAAATGGCATATAAAAAGTATTTATTATAAGAATAAGTAGTCTATTGTTCTAAATAATTAAGAAAATAATATTTGTAAATAATTTATGTAACATTAAATGATTGGTTTCTTAGTTTGTTTTTGTTAATAGATGAAATACCCTCTTATTTATACATTTAAATGTATTCAATAATATTTTTAAACAACTTTCAAGATAATAATGAATAGAATAATGAACATTAAAATGGTGGATCAAAACATCTCGACCTGTTTCAAGCACCAAATAATTTGGTATTTCAAGTTTTCAATGCCAGGAATGATGTGCTTGTTCAAACTGATTAGATTCTCAAAAAAAAAAAAAAAAAAAAAAAAAACAATAACAAACGATTCAGGTTTCTATCACGTACCTGTTATTTTTTATAATTAACCTTCTCATTCTTTACCAAAAAAGTCTAAGTTTAGAAGGCGTGAGCCCAAAATCCTTTCTTTAAATAAAATATGTTAAATAAATTAAAAACCCTCTTTGGCCGAGATGTGGAAGACCAAGTTCTCATAAAATGTAATAATGAGTGATTAGAAAAGGTAGATAACGACCTTGGGCAGGATGGAAGGATCGAACAGGAGGTTATAAATAGAGTCAAGAAGACCAATAGTGTGTTTTACTCTATAAGAACTAAAATATCAGGAAAACAGGAGGTAAAGCAGAAAACAAAAATAGCTTTGTTTAAAATAGCATTTCTACCTGTCCTTTTTTATGGTGCAGAGAGTTGGACGGTTCTGGACAAACATGCAAGTGAAGTATTTTGTTTATTTCTTTATATATATTTTTATCGAGAAATAATACATTTTGCCACACTTAAGGGCACTGAGTACTAAAGTTGAGTGAGGTACATTCATACCATATATACAATACAATAAAATAAATAAATAAAAAATATGCATCTATATAATAAAGGCAAAAAGTATAATAAAATCAAGAAAATGTAATTTAAAGTTAATATTAAATAAAATGTATAAATTCATAGCAAAATTAAATATATTATAAGTAGAGGAAATAAATAGAATAACATTTATAATTAATTACAATATTTACAATCAGGCAAGAGATCTCCGAGTTCAGCCCTTTCCACCATGTGTGAAGGACAAAGCGAGACTCTAAGAGATCCCAGCGCTTCTCTCTCAGCCACGTCGCCGGCATTAACAGTCCGGTGGAGACTGAGAGAGGGCACTAAAACCACAATCACTCATTACTTCAGTGCAGAAGCTGGCCATTGCCAGAACTCCAGTGACGTCTTTACAAAAGATCTCGAGGCCACCGCCGTTTCAACCTTCGAGGAGGATAGTAGAGATGACTGGAGCTAGATAAGGATTGTACTAAGGGGTTAGGATGGTGGGTGAGGTTCTAGTGAAGATTTGGGAATCTGGATGGAATAACGTCAAGGATATAAGGGATGTAAAGGTCATGATGTAAGGTTTTTTTTGTAACATAATAAGGAGCATTAACTATTATACGGAGGACTTTAGGCTGAAAGGATTGGATGCGTTTGATGTTCGAAAATTTAGTTGTCCCCCACAGTTCAAGTCCGTAGGTCCAGAGGAGTTTGAGTATGGTCTTGTATATTAATAGTTTGTTTTCTATTGAGAGATTGGATTTTCTGTTCAGTAGTCTGTATAGCTGGCCAAATCGTCGGTTAAGTTCTTGTCTTTTAAGTCTGGTATGTGGGTTCCAAGTTTGTCTTTTGTCTAAAAGAAATCCAAGATACCGAACTGTGTCTAAGACGGAGAGAGGTGCAGAGTTGAAACGGATAGGTGGACAGGATCTGCGTCGAAGGGTAAAGGTGACATGCTTGCATTTGGATTCATTGATTTTGAAGCGCCAATTACTGCACTACTGCTCAGTTAGGGAGATGTGTCTTTGTAGGTTTAAGGATGCTGAATCAGGATCTGAGTGGTATGAAGGGATGGCGGTATCGTCAGCGAATGTTGCTAGAAGAGTATCCGGATTGGTTGGAATGTTAGCGGTGAAGAGGATGAAGAGAACTGGGCCCAAGATACTGCCTCGTGGAACACCAGCCTCAACTCGATAATAATTGGAGAATTCAGTGCCGCAGGAGACTTGAAAGGAACGATTTTAGAGGTGGGATTTGAGGAGTAGGTACAAAGATTAGGGTAAGTGGGTTTTGAGCTTGAAGACAAAATGGTTCCTAGAAGCAAAACCAGAGGGAATGCGACTTAGAGGAAGGCCAGGCTGTTGTATGGTGACTACATGGAGAGTCTTGGGAGAGCCTGAGGTGGCATCAAGGTGGATATGAGAAGGAGAGCCAATGACAGAGCCTAGACCTCCATGCTAATGGCACTAAAAGAGGTAGTCCGTGGTACAGACTTCTTTTCATCAAAATATTAACATCCGGCTGAAACTTCGTAAATAGTTTCGGTACTACTCCACTAGCAGGCCTGGTCGAAACCTCGCTTCTTATCTATGTTATCTAATGCCATGTCACATAACCTCCCTCTTCTTATCCCTACAAACCTTTCAGTTATTACATTGTTTATTTTTCAGTTATTCCCTTATTATGTTCACTTATTAAATTCTTTATTTTTGGCACGTTTGTGTTTATTTTTCATTTTTTTTTTTCTTTAGTTTATTTTCGTCAAATTATGAATCTTGTTACATTCTTGGATTTTCCGTCTTTGGGAGAACAGGCTATTGAATATTTTCAAAATGTTGGGATACTTGCAGACGTGAAATTGTGTGAACGAGGTCATCAAATGAAGTTAATGAGGAACACCAAACGAGATGCTGCGTACCAAAATAAATAAGACAAAGTGAAAATAAATTGTACATATGTCGTTTATAGTGTTGATATTTTTTTTAATATGTAAATATGTTCTTTAAGTGTTTTTTATTATTATTTCATTTTGATCTTTTGTAAGTACATATCTTCTTTAAGTGTTTTTTTATTATTTCATTAATATATGGGTCGTAAGATAAAATCTTTCTTTTTGTTATTATATTTGTTTTTGTTTCTGTTTACACTTTCAATAATACGAATATAATACAATAATAGGAATTAGGAGAAAGCTTATCACTGCCTTATCAGAATTATCAGTGTTCAGGTTATAAACATTGGCAGGTAGCAGTCAGTCCCGGCCTGCTAGTGAAGAAGTACCATAGTTTCATCTCATCGTAACCTACAACTATTATATTTACGAAAACTCTTGGAATTGGGGCGTTTTCAATCTGGAGGGAAGCAAATTTGTCTATTTAATTAGGTACTAAAAACTCGTAAATACACAATTGCTTTCTACTCGGGGTACTTGTCCATTAGCTGGACAGGACGGACTGTTATCTGCAACTGTTTATAACTTGAACACTGATAATTCTGATAAGGCTTCTCACAATTCCTATCTTCATGTTCATATTTATTGTATTATATTCATATTATTAAAAATAAAAACAAATGTAATAATAAAAAATACTTTTATTTTACAATATTTTCACTTCGCCTTATTTATTTTAGTAGGCAAAATAGGAAATTTACTATTTAATACATTAAATAGACGACAACGAATGTAATAATAACAAAACAGTTTGGTTAATAACATACATAGCAATTAATTGATAACATTAATTAAAAATTAACAACAATAATTAATAAAATTTTGCTGAAAATAACAGAAATGGAACAAAAATAAACAATGGAATAACTCGAAGCTTTGAAGAGATAAGAAGGGAGGTTATGTGATGTAACATTAGATAACAAAGTAAGTTTCGTCCAGGTCTCCTAATGGACAAGTACCCTACTTGGATTGTAAGATAATTCAGATAACAAAGTCGAGAAAAAAAGGTGGCCTATAAAAATATTGAGTCGTTTGGCGTGACCTACACCGAACCAATATTTTTGTAGATTGCCCTTTTTTATCGATTTTGTGATCAATTTATCTTACGATCTAAGTAGAAAGCAAATGGGTATTTACGAGATTTTAGTACCTAATTAAATAGCAAAGTATGTCACATTCCATATTAAAAACGCCCCAATTCCAAAAGTTTTCGTAAATAAAATATTTGTAGATTACTACGAGATGAAACTATTTACGAAGTTTCAGGCGGATGTTAATAATTCGATAAAAAGAGTTCTGTACCACGGAGTAAGGAGACAAAAGAAGAAGAAAAAAATTAAATATTTGCCCTACTTTTAATTCTTTCATTAAAAAAAAAATCCTGAAATTCAACCTGAGAAAAGGCAAAGATTTAAAGAATCTTGAAAACGTTCAAGATAACAATGAAAATTTGTATCTATAAAAACAAATTATGTTTATATCGAGCTAAATAAATTAAAGTGATTTGTTTTGAAAAATGTCTTTTTTTTCAACCAAAAACTAATAAGAAATCGATATTTTCAGTTAAAATTCAGGCATATATTTACTATTTTAAATGTGATATATAAAAAAGAGAAGATTATAAAAACTTGCCAATAAAGTTTGTTTAAAGTGTTTTGTTACTGAAATAACGAAACATAATAAGAAATTTGTTAAGTTGATTTTTTTTTAAATGAAATCTTTTTTGATCTTTCTTGGAAAAAATTTATAAATGGACGTAACCAGTTATGAAACCAAATGCCTCATTTAGACTAACCATTACACATAAATATGTAGTTTATAAAAAAATATATATTTCAATTAAAACGAAAATTTAAATTACTGTTATATAGTCAATATTATATATTATAGTTGTATGACGTCATAAACCCAAATATTTCAGTATGTTTTGACAAATCAACACATTGAAAAATTTTTTTGCATTTTAAAAGTCATTGAAAATGGGCAAAAAATCACTTTAAATCAGAGAATCACAAAGAAGAATATAGTAATAGAATGTAACCACAAAGTGTTAATAATATTTTAATGAATGTTGTATTATTTGGTCAAAAATAATTATAAATCCTGTAAAATTTATTTAATATTATTTATACAAATATATGAATACATATGTATTTATTTATTATTATTTTTTAATCTTTATTCACACCAGTCAATAATAATATTACCAACCAGTGAATTAGTAGAACGACAAGCAGGCGTTGACATGTATTTATTTTGAAAATGATTCATGGATTAAAATGTTATTATTAAAATACTCTTATATAAATTATAATCAATTATTTAAGTGTATTAATAATTTCGAGACGTTAGACACCACATGTATTAAAATTAAGTGTATTAATTTCATAAAATTATCATTGGTATCTTAAGTGAGTAAATATCCACTTAAGAGTTACCACGGATGCGTAATCTGTATCAGACCATTAAATAATATTTACTTGACACTTGAATACAGATGTTGATGTAATGAATACGATCGAATCGATTTTCGTAAACACATATTTCATTTCCAATTAAATTAGGTGCGAGAATCGAAAAAAAAATCTTTATAATCGAAAATTTTAGGAAATAATTTCTCAGGATACTTCTTTAAGTGGATATTAATCATTCGAATAAGGACAACATGCTTAGTATAATTATTATAGAGATTTTCTTTAATCATTGAGTAATTATTTCGATGAATCTCGTAGTTTTTGAGGGAGAGATAGTCAGGACGCTGTCAGTTTTTAGGATTTTAAATGTCAATGTTTCAACACGAGCGTGTGGGTCATTTTGCCAGAAATGAAGAAGCGGGGATCGGACAAACACGTGAAAGATATTTGATTGATAAAATAATTAAAAGTTCGCGTTCCGGTGCCAGGAGGACTTTTAACTTTGACATTAATCCCCTACCCTCCCCCCTGGCCGGGGAAAATCCCGTATAGCATAAAATCGAGGAAGAAGAAATAAAAAAAAAATTGTCAGCAATAAAGGTATTCAAGAACTACTACTACTACTAGCAAGACGTTGAGTACTCGAACTCCTTCAGGGCTTGTAACATAACATGGTGATCAACCCACAAGCTTGGGTTGAAACGTCGGCAATAATAAAAACTTAAAAGCTAACTGTGTCATTTATCATCCATACTGTAAATATGTAATTTCAATTTCGAACAAGTTTTTGTTTTTGAGGTTCGCTGTTCACATAAACATGGATTTATTTGAAATTTTTCATGATTGCAAGATATTCCTTATTGTACTTGAATAAGTAATTCAAAGTAAAAAAAATCTATACTTAATGGAGAAAATTTTGCTTGTTAAATTATTATAGGGTAACTTTGGGACAGCAGTTAATATGTAGTTTGTGGTGATTTCGTGGTGGAAACACTGTGTTGGTTCAGTCTGCAAAAACGTACTTTGTGTAGGCATGTTCTGCGCTACTACATCCTTCGGCATATTAATTCTTTTCATGAAAATAAGAATTAAAAAAAAAAAAAGCAATGGAAATAAATAAAAGCTAACCACACAACGAGTGTAATGAACTATGGTTCTCAAACTGCTGCAAGATAAAAGTGCCTGATTGTTGCAAGATAAAAATGCTATGCGAAAGTTCTCTACCCAATCAAGTTACTCCCCCCCCCCTTACTGTAATACTTTTACTAGTAGAGTATTATCAAAAATTTACGAAACTTTTGTAAATATTGTAAAGGTGAAATAATATTGCACAAATTCGCAGGTAGGGGTAATTTCTGTATGTTCCTTATCAGTAAAAATAATTAAAATATCAGGTGAATAATAGATAACATTTTTGATAAAAAACATTTTTTTAAAGTGTTTAATGAATTACTCAGATGTTATCTGCATATTTACATAAAGTATGAGTGGTTTTAACCACCAATGATGAAATATATCAACAAAACAATAAAAAATATATTTAACAATATACAGTAGAGCCGATAATATGAGTCATTTGAAATCGATTATGAATTTAAATTGTTTATTTTTTTTTAAAACTTTTTTATTGTAAAACATTACTATCTGTCTCAAGGACATTTATAATAGTGTTCAGAGATCACATTGACACTCTTGTACAATAAATAAATTATACAGAAAAATAATATATATACAATAAATAAGAATAGACTAACCTAAAAATAAATAAATAAAAATAACACATACAATAGCGAGAGAACTCCAAACCAGACTTGTCCCTCCAACTGTGGAGGGATAAGCATGACTCCAGGAGATCCCTGCGCTTTTCTCTCAACCACGTCATTGGGGCTAAGCCCAGGAGAGATTGAGTAAGAGTGCTTAAGGATGAATATGAATATCCGGAAATACTAGTCAGAAGGTACATGTATGACTAAGTAATATATCATTAGAAAGCGGGGAATTTCAGAAAAAAATATCAAATATAGAAATTCGTAGAAAGTAATGGAGAGTGAAGAAAAATAATAAATAATAATTTGGGAAAACTAATATTATTTAACGGAAATCACTGTTCTCAAAGAAATTAAATGAAATTTACTTCCTTAAATGTAATTTTTGTTTTTAGTTTGAAAAAAGTATTTAAAATTCACTTAATCAAGGCATTGTTAAAAAAACTATTTCATAGTACTTGTGCGAAAGAAGAAGTAAAATATAAAATATTCCATGGATGTATAATATAATAATGTTCATAACCTTAAATACATTTACTATAGTTTAATAATTCTAGATCCCATATTATATTTAAATAATTAGGTATCGACGTCAGTTTATTTCGAAAAATCATCATGTGATCTGATAGAAAACTAAATAATTGAATAATTTGATGAATTTTCCCTTTGTGAAATCCAAACATCATTCACTTCAAATTAGCGGTCCAGTAGCTTAATATCTGTGCTAGTGGACGGTGCTGAGGCTGTCCGTATGTCCATTGTCTGAGGTATCGAAGCTCTATTTTAAAATTGTGTTGAATTTTGAAATAATTCTTATTTGGAACATATGAAAGCATAATTGTGTATCGATTAAGCAATCATTTATTCAGCATGAAAAAACAGCAGTACCAATGAACATTTTGTAGTTTATTGAATACTAATTAAGTGACCTAATTCCCCAATTGAATAATTGTGTTAATATAGAGGGAGAGAGAGAGAGAGAGAGAGAGAGAGAGAGAGAGAGAGAGAAAGTGAGAGACTGGGGGGGAGAGTCAAAGAGAAAATTTCTTTTTATGTATATCTTACATACCAAAAGAAAAACTTAAAGCCTTTGAGATGCACTCGCTTCGGCCTATATGTTGCTAAAACGCTCTCGCTTAAACTCCACTGGCTTTAGCACCAGTGAGGCGGTTGAGAGAGTACCGCAGGGATCTCTTGTTGGAGTCCTGTTTTTCCTTCTATAGTTTGAGGGAGAGGTTTGGCTTGGGGTTCCCTGCCTGATTGTATTTATCGTTTGTAGGTATGACTGTGTATATGGTGTGAATGTGTTCATATATCACTATAATCTATTGTCCACGTGACAGATAGTTATAATTCTAAATAAATAAAAGAAAAAAAAATAATTCAGTGACATTTAATTTCATCTAACAAGTGTTTTGAAAAAAATGACAAGGTTAACGTAGCTAGCTAGAAAAGGACCAATCCTGATAACAGTATTGTTAAACAAACATAAATTTAGCAAGGATTTTTCAAGGAAATTTTATTCCTAACTGTATAAAGTTACCTAATATATATCTCACATCACAAATAAAGACGTTACTCATTCAGTGGAATATATTCAGTGGTAGAGCGACGGAGCAGAGAATTTTTGATTGAAAGTTAGGGAATCCAAGAATAAGGTACGTGTGTGTGTGTGTTTATATATATATATATATATATATATATATATATTATATATATATATATATATATATATATATATATATATATATATATATATATATATATATATATAATAGAATAGTAGAATAGAATATAAATATCAACTTTATTGTAGGACAACGTCCCTTAAGAATAATATTTTTCATAAAAATTAGGATTACACCTGACCAATGAAATATAAGTAATAAGACAGGTATATAAATAGCTGAAAGCAGAAGGGTAGTAGAATCATAATATTTCAATATCGCCGCTTAGGAAAATTAAAGTAAGCAAATAAATAAAATAGGGAAGGAACATTAAATTAACTTGATGAGAAAACCATAGTAGCAACAAAAATAAAAATAAAACTAAAGAAAAGTATATTGATCTTCATAACGATAAAATAATTATAGCCAAAGGTAAATATTTTCCGTACGTGTGTTCTTTCTCTTTTTAAATTTTCGAATGCACTCATCTTAAATTTACTTCTTACCTGTTCCCCACAAGGGATGCCAGTATTTCTCGTAATACAAAAGGTGAATAACAATGGTAACTTGAATAAAATAGTGATTGAGTGCAATTAAAAAAAAAAACACAAAACTATATTATATTTTATCAAATTTTAAAAAGCAATGTTTAGAACACGCACATTTAATTCTAACAAAAATTAAAATTTGTTTTTTAAAAAACCTTTTATAACTCATGGGTTGCTTAAAATTAAAAATAATACATTTCACATTGTAATATAAAAATTCGAACGTTCATCATAGTTAACAAATCCATTTTAACAAATTAATGATAATCACAGTGTTGGGATATCAGCTCTTTAAACTGTATAAAGGCAATAAAGGACTTATGTGGGAGTCTTGGGCCGACTATATCCTGCATAAAGAATATGACCTAGGATAATACCTTGAGGAACACCAGCATATTTGGGAGAAAAATAATGAAAAACTGTTTACAGGAACAGGAATTAAAAAAAAAAAAAAAATTGGTAAGTATTATAAAAATATTAGCCGTATATATATATAACATGAAATATATTAAATTAATTAATTTGATGAGAAATTCTCTAATTTCTGAGTGAATTTTTCTAAATAAAAAAGCGGTGGATACAATAAGATGAAGCAATTCATGAAGTTTTAGGGGGATGTTAATAATCTAATAAAATGAGGTCTATACTGCAGATTATGAAATAATTAATATTACAAAGCATAATTATTTCTTAACTTGAATATTTCAAATATGTTTTAGAAATGGAGAAAGAAGTTCTTGAAGTAGTTATGAAAAGGTTGGACAGCGAATCGAGGGTCGCTGCTATTTTAGATTTTCAGTCGGTGCCAGCTTTACCTAAAGGAGAAAACTACCACTCCACGATCTTCAGAGTAACATTAAAAGTGGTCTTGGGCAACGGAAGGCAGGCCAAGAAGTCCTTCATCATGAAGCAGATGATCACTGAAGGAACGCGAGAGAAGCAACAAAGAATGGCATTTGCTAAAGAAACTCAGGTAAGCAAGTAAGCACTCAATATAGGGTGGTAAATGAACGTTGTGTGAAACACGCACCACATTTCGATCCCCATGTTCTAGTCTGAAAATCAAGACTTCATTTGCTGACCCATGTTCACAAGAACTATTGTTTAGCTTTTTCTATAGACTCTCTAAATATTCCTAAAGAAACATGTAAAAATTATAATGAAAATATATAAATATAGTAAATGAAAAATATTATTTAGATGAATATCATGCTTTCAGGTGTATTCCGTAATACTCAAACAGATGAGTTACCTAATGGAAGAATTCGAAGACACAGATGAAACTCTTTGGTGTAACTGCATTCATTCCGATCCGTACTTATCTTGTATCCTCCTAGAAGATCTAAAGGTGAATAAATACTTTTTTTTTGTTTAAAAGGACGATAAATAACCATGGCTGCAGTCTATATATAGTTTATTAGGTTTGATGACGATTCGACACAAAGCTGTGGGTCATTACCAGGGCTAAAAATAAAGGAAAATAAAAATCATGAATATAAATAGAGTGCCAATATAAATAAGCCAAGATAAAAAAAATGGAAATTACTCGTAAGTAGTGAATCTTCGATGCCACACAGGGTGTAGAAAGTCCCATTGCTCCAACCTTGAACCCTAAAGTTTTGGTTTTCTTTGGGCAGATTTGATTCCCGAATCAAGTCACTGAAAATCAGAATCATCTGGTAGGGTTCCTCCTAGGGATTTTCCTCTTCGTTATCCTCGTCCTCATTCAGTCATAGTGTTCAGGAGGCCTCGGAACAGGAACTTCGCCCCCCGTGTGGTACTGGCCTTATCTGAAGGAATGTCAGGATAATTCACTCCAGATTTCTTTTTTGAAACATTTCATGATGAAGAGGAGTGGTCATGCAAAAGTAGCAGTTGTCAGCGTGATTAGTAGGCTCCATCCACACCATAGAAACAGCAAAAGGCCTTGTTGCAAAACCTTTCTAGTTGAACCATTCTCTTAAGGCTACATATGATGCAGCAGAAATACCTATGGTTTACCTTAGTCACTAACCTTCACTCCAAAATACTTGTGGTTTGCTGTTTTGATCCTCTGGGTGATAGCATGTTTTTGACTCGCAACGGTTACTTCCCAAGAAATGTAACAAAAGTTGTCATGAGAATTCCCACACTTCCTGGACATTGTGATTTCACCAAAACTACTGGTTTATCACGACAAAATCGTTTAAAGAATCAAAAATCACATCAAAAATGACTTGAAATGTAGACACTGCATACAACTATCAGCAAAATGGTTCTGTGATTCACAGCTAGTCGATTCCCTGGATTCACAGACAGAAATCAATCCAACCAACCTAGGAGTAGGAAATTTTAATTTTAAATCCTCCATTCAACCTCATCCCACCAGATCCCGTACGTCCGACCTCTGTCCTCCTCCTCACCGAACTGCTGCGTTTCAGAAATCCTTTGTAATTCAAATCGCCTTTCTCTGGAATTCTATCCATCCCTATATTCTACACTCAAATTCAGTCTTCTTTCCAATCCAAATAATCATGAAATGCAAGTAAGAGTCTAGGTATTAAGGCCCTCCAAAGTATTATCATTTCATTTCATCTCTTTATAAACATATATTTTATTGGAATAATATAAAATTAAACATAATTTTCTCAACTTCTATTTAGGCAAGTGGTTACAGTTTGGTTCCAAGACAGCAAGGCCTGGATTTGGACCACTCCATCGTTGCTCTTAGGGGTTTGGGCAAGTACCACGGGATGGCAAAGGTTCTTGAAGAGAGAGGAATCATCTCCAAAGATGAATATACGCAAAAGTCCCCTTTTACCATCTTAAAAGTTATAAAAGCGATACCTTACGCTGGTATTTTAAATCTTGCGAAGGCTATGCGAGAGAGCTGGGGCCCAGAATGGTAAGTTGATCTAAATTGCAAGCATGAAATTAGTAAATTATAGCTAAATTTATTGATGTATTGAGATAAAATGATGTTTTCAGTTTATTCTGCTTCATAGAGACACTCAGTTAGGAATATATATGTATAATGAATAATTATAAAATCTGCCACATTGAAGAGCAAGTCTTAGGGTCATAGGTGTTCAATCATACAACATACAAACGAAAGCGAAATAAATGTAAATAATTGAAATAAAAATAAGTAATCATAAATAATTAAAATAACAATATCTTGAAGTTGAGTAAAATTAAAATCAATCTTTTAAAAACACATAACTACTTACTTTTATAATTGGTAATTGGTTGACTGTCGTGGATAATGAAGAGAAGAATAGTTCGGGTGCTCAGTCAAAAAAGGAAGGCAAAAAATAAATTATAATATTTATTTTTTACATATGCCGACGTTTCGACCTGAAGTTCAGGCCTTCATCAGGACTAAGAAAATAACCAGATAACAAGGTATGAGAAACATAAGTAATGATGATATAGTAACTACTTCATTCTCAATGTTTTTAATTTTACTATTTATTTTATTTTCATTTCTTATATAACTTTATATTTCTTTTTTATGTTTTTACATTTTATTCTAAGATTCCCAATGTAACACTTTTGTCACTCCTTTTTCATTATGATTATCACCCCTACTTCATCATTCCACACTATGTTTTCTTATAATTTTTTTTTTATTTTTTTTCTCATTTTTTATTATCTTTTTACCATCATTACTTATGTTTCTCATACCTTGTTATCTGGTTATTTTCTTAGCCCTGATGAAGGCCTGAACTTCAGGTCGAAACGTCGGCATATGTAAAAAATAAATATTATAATTTATTTTTTGCCTTCCTTTTTTGACTGAGCACCCCAACTATTCTTCTCTTCACTACTTACATTTACTTTTGTAAGCTTCCAACTTGGATTGTCTTTTACATCAGGGCTGAGCTCCAGAGATCGTGGTCCATCGAATCGGCATTCTGAAGACCTCGGCCCGCCAATTCTTCCTCCACTCCACTAATCAATCTACTTCTGAGTCGTCCCCGTTTCCGCCTTCCAGTCCAGAACGGCCATCCAGTCGATTCGGCCATCGCTCTGTCGACATTCCCTTACATGGCCAAACCAACTTGGCCTTCGATGTCCGATTCTGTTGTTGACCGAAATATGAACCTCCACTCTCTCCCGAATACCATCATTCCGAAGTCTGTCCATCTTCGTCATAAAAAAGTCCATATCCACTACTTGAAGCTTTTGATAGAGCAGGGATGACATGCTCCATGTTTCAGGTGCGTAAGTTAAGATGGCGTGGAAGATTCTTCGTTTATTCTCCTTTAGAATCGTCTCGCTCTACAGAACCGGTTGGCTTTTCGAGCTTGTTCTGTTTTTCTCCGGACGTCTGGTTTTCAGGATTCTGAGGAGTTGAGGTAAGATATTTAAAAACGTTCATCTTGTATATGTCTCAGATTCAACAGGAAGATCACCGTCAATTCCAGGCCATGCAGCCGTAATAACTTTGTTGAACACGTCAGGACTTAAGTAGAGATTCTGTCTGTTGTTAGAACCCCAATAAATACATATTACAAAAGAACACGGGGTCACTTCCGTTGTAACTCCTTAGGAATGATCGTAGGGAGTTATGCAGGATTGGGCTACAGGATTTGGGAGAGGAGATTCTGATGAAAAATTGACTGGGATGAGGTTTAAAAAATATGAGACATTAAAATTATTATTTTTTCGGTTAGCTAGGAGGGAGTTATATAGACTTTTGTTCGAAGAACTTCAGAAGGGAAGGATTGAATGTGTTTGATATTGAAAAATATTCCAGCCTTCCATAGTTCAAAGTACTAAGTCGAGATGTATGGTGTTCTATATTAATAATCTGTTTTTAATCAAAAGATTAGAGTTTCTATTAAGTAGTATATATGTGTATATAAGATAAAGACCGGAGACTGGCGGTATCAGCCTTAATACTATCTGGTAATGTAAATAAACAGGCTAAGTGTATATAAGGAGGCTTATGGAACGAATAAAGCAGTGTTATTTCAGAAGTCGTGTATGTTACATCTTTTCCCTTTTCCTTCTTTTTTTTTATTTCTTACGTCCGACGACGCTTAACTGGTGCCGAAACCCGGGACAACGTCAGGGAAGTAATTTTTTTTTAAGTAGATATTTTTTTTTTTGTTTGTTTAGTGTTTAAGGAAAAGGTGAAATGCCGACAGAAGGATTGATCAGACCGGGAGTACTAAGCGTACCGGAAATTCCTCAACCTCAGGAGATTCCACAGATCAATCAGGTACCCCAGATCGCGCCTCAGGTACCTCAGATACCTCAAGTCCCTCAGGTAGCACAGATCCCTCAGATCCAGGAGATCCCTCCATTACCAAGGGACACGTTGGCAGAAGCACACGCCAATGCCTTGGAATGGATGAAAATAAGAGCAACAACCACGCAGGACTTACGGAGGGCCATTGCGGACCTAGAACGATTCGGAGGCGAGGTAGGCGAGCTCAACCATTTCTTGAAAGGCGGAGATCGTCTCATGTCAAGAATCGAGGTGAAGGTGGCGGAGGACCTGGTGAACCTAGGGGACGCGGAGGAACTAAAAGCAGCTCTTGTGTGCCGAGTAAGGAGGAACGTCCTGAACCAGATCCAAGCGGACGAGGAGACCCCGTGGCCGGTGATTAAGGAGCGGCTGAAGAAGGCGTTTGGAGGAGGTAGATGGACACCGGAAGAGGACATATTCCAAATGTTTAGGGAGCGGCGGGCCCAACGACAGTCAAGGGGGCAATATGCGGGAGTACTCGTGGCGAAGTACAATCGCATAACCGAGAAGATGCGGGAAACAATGAGCGTGGGAGAGGTCGAAGCCAGGATGGAGTTTCTGTCGACAATATTGAAAGTCCAGCTGGCTAAAGAAACGGGAAAGAGGGACGGACTGCCCAGAGAGCGATCGTTCCTCGAATGCGCCCAGGAGATGATCGACCTAAGTGCCAGAGAGGAGGAGACACGGATGGATGTGGAAGAACCGGGTTGGACCCGAGTGACGGATAGACGACCATGGACAGCCCCGACAGGTTGGAAGAAGAGGGACACAAGGCAGCCGAGTGGAGAGAAAGCCCCGACGAGGGAAAGAAGATCGGGACAGTCGTCGAGGCCGAGGAACGGGCCCCGGAGGGAAGAGAGAAAATGTCACGGGTGTGGGAAGCCGGGACATTTAGTAGCGCAATGTCCGCGCACCAGATGCTTCGAGTGCGGGACGGAAGGGCACATAGCAAGGCAGTGCCCATACATATTTCACAGGAGGGAGAGACCTCAGGACGAACCCATGGAGGTGAATGTGCAGAGGATGAAGAGACGAGCCAGGGTACATCAGCGGGACGGATCTTCGGAGGAGGCAACCGAGGAGTCAGGAGCGTCGGGAACGGAGACGGACGAACCAGGCAGCAGCGGAGGTGAAGGAGGTAGGCGCAGCCAACGGAGTGAGCAGCGACGAGCGGCGGCAGAAAGGAGGAAGCGGGACGACATCTGAGGAGTGTGTCGGCAGAGAGGCGACCGCACAGCAATATGCAACAACATCCGAGGTAAGCCATGCTGGTTGCCAATTATCGAGGTAGACGGGGGAGTAAAGTGTCTTGTGGACACGGGTAGCTCGAGCACTATTATGACTCGAAGGGCGTTAGGAAAAGGGTGCGGGAGCGAGAGGGTACTCCGGATACAGAAATGTGACTGTCAGCTTATCACTCTGGGTGGTCCCTGTAGTGTAGAGGGTGAGGCGACAATTGGGCTTGATCGGTGGACAGGGAAAGAGGGTGAGCTAACGGTGCATGTGGTAGAGAACATGACTCGGGAATACCAAGTCATAGTAGGGTGCGATTTGTTAGGTCAGGTAGGGGCGAGCATTAGGAACCGTAGAGGAGTCTGGAGCGTTAGGTTAGGAAAGAGGAAGTTCGGATGTATAGGGGTCGCGAGAGAAAGAAGCGTGCGGATAGGAGCGGTGGACAGAGTGGAGGACTGGAGGAAGTTGCTACAAGAGGAGTTTAGGGATATCTTCTTCAGGGAAGGTGAGGTATTAGGAGTAACAGGGAGGACGGTGCACGAAATCCCACTGAAACAGGAGAGGGTAACTTACGTGAAAGAGAGAAGATACCCGCAGGCGTTGAGACAGCATATTCGGGAGGAGCTAGATAGTCTAAAAGAACAGGGAATCATAGTTGATAGCACCTCACCATTCAATAGTCCCCTGTGGGCGGTGAAAAAGAAGGCAGCGCCGGGGGATAATAAGGAAAAATACAGGGTGGTAGTAGACTATCGTAAATTGAACGATAACACGGTAGACGAGAAGTACCCATTAACAATTTGTTGAAGAAAGGCGCGAAGATTGTGGTGACACCAGAGATGGAGAATAACATTCGAAAATGTATGAATAGGTTGCTGGCGGAGCCGGTGTTAGCGTTTCCGGATTTCGAGAAGCTTTTTAATATAACCACTGATGCGAGTGAATACGCGCTAGGGGCCGTTTTGTCCCAGGGGGGGAGTGAGGGTGAACGACCGATAGCATACGCGAGCCGTCGGCTTACGGGTGCGGAATCAAGGTACAGCGCTTTGGAGAGGGAGCTACTCGCGATAGTATGGGCTATCGACCATTTCAGGCCATACGTATTCGGGAGAAAATTTCGAGTCCATACCGACCACAAACCCCTCCAGTGGGTAGGAAAACTCAAGGAAACCTCAGCTAGGGTCACAAGATGGAAGGAGATCCTAAGCCAATACAACATAGAGGTGGTGTATAAGCCGGGAAAGGAAAACGTGGTGGCAGACTGGCTCTCGAGGGCCATCATGATCAACGCGGTTGAAGAGGACAGGGGAGGACCATCGCAGGACGTGCGCCAATTCTTGAGGGAATGGACTCCCGATGGCGAAGGGGCAAATGACACCGCAGGGATTGAGGACAGGGGAGATTCCCCAGAAGAGGAGAGCTCGGCGGAAGAAAGGGCAGCGGAGATGGAAGAAATAGAGGAGATCGTGAACGACAAACACCGTCAGGTGATTTGGAAGACACGAACAACCGGAATCATGAAGATCGATTTCAGAAGGTACGGGAGAAGTAGGATCCGCGTCATTTGGTCGCAGCCCGGGGTCAGCGAAGAACAAATCTGTACGGCACTGAGGGATGCCTCGGAAGCGGGTAAAACGCACTACCTATACGTAGGAAACAATACGGTATGGGATAAGATCAAGCGAATGTGGAGGTCCGAGCGAATAGGCGTGGACAGGACATTCATCCGGTGCAAGTATGCTGTGGAGACGGTACAGGACGAAGAGCAGCAGCAAGCAATCACAGTAGCATATCACCAGGGGAAAACCAATCACCGAGGCGTTAATGAGACGCTGCAGGCATTGCGTCGGAAGTATTTCTGGTGGGGCATGAAGAGGTCCATCCAGGAAGTCATTGGGAAATGCGAGATATGCATGCGCACAAAATACGATCGACACCCCCCCAGAGGAGTTCAGGAGGAGACACCTACAGGGAATATGCCGCTACAGGACCTTCAGATTGACACGTTTACCTGGAAAGGGTTTAAGTGGGTCACGGTAATCGACATATTCAGCAAGGTGGCGATGGCATACCAAGTGATGGAGAAGTCAGCCAATGCAGTTGCGGAAGCCCTACAAACCTGGGTGCAGTTCTATGGGGTCCCCGAGAGGATTACTTCGGACGGTGGTAGGGAGTTCGACAATGCCGCGATTAGGGAGGAGGTGAAGCGATTGGAAATTGCGTGGCATTATAACACCCCAGGACATCCTAAAGGTAGAGGCGGTATTGAACGGCTGCACAGTACGTTAAGCGACCACGTCCGTGTATATCAGGGTGAAAAAGGGTTGGAGCCGGATGTGGCAATGAGGAAAGCGGTAACAGCCTATAACCACTCGATCCACTCCGTAACGGGGTTTTCACCCATGGAAGTTCTATTCGGGATGCGCAGGCCAAGGCGGGATTATGGGGAAACTACGCTTACCGAACCGTTAGTGGATCAAATTCTCAGCAATAGGGTAGAGGTAGAGAAAACATGGGGAAAGATAACGGCGAGAATTAAGCGGGAAAAGCAGAAGCGGGTGGAAAGGCAGAATGTACAGGTTCGCGACCAAATGGGGGAACTAAAAATAGGAACAATAGTTTACCGGAAATTGGGAACCAACAGAGGGAAACAATTGCTACGGTACGAGGGTCCATTCAGAGTGGTTGTTATTAGGGTGCATAACCTGGTAACTATTGAGAGCGTGAATGAGCCCAGAAAGAGGAGAACCGTTCATATCGAACAATTAAAGCTCCCAATGATAGAGTCGGGACATAGACGTACGGATTCGTAGTACCCTCACCGCTGTATATAAAACAGAGAAATATGTTTTTTTGTGGCTGTCAAAACAAAACAAGTTGTAAAAGATTTTTTTTTTGTTGTATTATTTCATGTATAGAGGAAATTGTGTTTTTTTTTGTTGTTGTTAGGAGTTCTCAAGTGGTAGGAGTTCTAAAGTGCTGTGTTTAGTTTCAGTGTTTTTAATTATTTCTTCTTTATTTATTATTTTTCCAGTTGAGTGGAACTATTTTATTTTCTTTTAAGCATATACTGTAAAACCAATTGTAAAGTGTTAAGGCTGGTCACCGTGGGCTCCGATCTAGCAATATTTAAGTTTCCGAAAATCCTGTTCGTAAACTGGTGGGGGGGAGATAAAGACCGGAGACTGGCGGTATCAGCCTTAATACTATCTGGTAATGTAAATAAACAGGCTAAGTGTATATAAGGAGGCTTATGGAACGAATAAAGCAGTGTTATTTCAGAAGTCGTGTATGTTACATCTTTTCCCTTTTCCTTCTTTTTTTTTATTTCTTACGTCCGACGACGCTTAACTTATATATATATATATATATATATATATATATATATACATATATATATATATATATATATATATATATATATTATATATATATATATATATATATATATATATATATATATATGTATGTATATATATATAACTGCGGTCAAATCATCGTGGGTTCCACGTTAGTTATTTCAGGGACATAAATCACACGAGATTAAAACTTTAGTTTTCCTAGCCAGTCTGAAATATAAAACGTATTCTTAGATTGGTTTACGTTATAGTGAAAAAACAAATAACAATTTATACTATTATCTGCTTATAAAGTTATTATATTTTGCAGGGAAGAGACTGCAAAAAGCATGATGATATCTTTAGATCCATTTGCAGCTAAACTCAACCAAGTGTTTAAAACAGATGAGAATGAATTCGCCGTCCTCATTCACGGCGATTGCTGGTCAAACAACATGATGTTCAAATACGACTTTCAGAAGAGGCCAATTGCAGTGAAGTAAGTGATTAATATCTTGATCGACATATGTAAATATATAAAACTTTTCTGAAATAGATAGGAAAGTCGTGTGAGTGGACACACCAGATTTTTTATCCATATTTTATTTATTTATTTAATCTTTTTTTTTTTTAAAAAAAGAACATTTCTTTAATTTGTTTCTATATTTATGTAGTTGTTTATTATTGATTTATCTTTATATAATAATGTTTGTGATGGGACCAGATCTCGTGAAATTGTAACTGTTTTTCATTCATTCATAACAGAGTTTCGTTAAACAATATTGTCGTTTTCAGGTTTTTTGACTTTCAAGGACCTCAATATATCACACCCTGCACGGACATTACCTATTTCCTGTACCTCGGTACCCAGCCTGCAGTACGTCGAAGCAACTATCAACTCCTGCTGAAGACGTACCACGATTCCTTGGTCAGAACTCTGGACAAGTTCGGCTTCACTGGTACCAAGCCCACACTCGAGGAAATAACAGCTACAATGAGTCGTCTCGAGTTCTACGGACTAATGCTTTTCGTGGCTGCGTACCCTGGCCTCACTGGTTCCAAAAACCAAGAAGCATTTGATTTTGAAAAGTTGATGAAAACGGATGGAGAAGAAGGATTCGAACAGGAAGTTCTCAAAGAACCTGGAATAATAGAGAAGATGGGGCCGGACATAATTTACTATGTAGAAAAACATTTAAAAAATCTGTGAAATGTTTCTTATAACCAGAATTTCAAATATCTTTTAAAGAATCAATATGTTATTTATTTTTTGAATATTAATACAAGAACTTCCCGGTCGATAACAAACTACTACAACATCTTTTGGACTACAGATCTCCATTCAACTTACAAAACAAGCGACTAATCTACACCACCATACTAAGACCTTTTTGGACATACGGAGCAGAACTTCGACGTCCCGCCAAACACACACACACACAAACATAAAAAACAAATAAAAAAACACAAAATCCAAAATAATTCGTAAAATCATAAATGTTTCTTGGAGTATTTCAAATAACACCATCCATAAAGAAATAAACATACCAAAAGTAAAATCCTACATACACAACATTTCATTCTTCTACTCTCAATCATCTAAAGCCATTCGTCTTGTCTCTTTCTTCCTCCGTGTTACCTGGTGAGCCTTAACGACGACTAAATGACAGTGGCCTAGAGATCTCCTGCTGACAAAATAAAGAAGGACTAAGAATAAAAGAAGAAAGAATAAACGGCAACATATTTGCTTTTTTGCGTTACAACACAGTGGAAAACTTAATGTAAAATAAATAAAAATAAAATATTACAATATGTTTGTTTAAATAAAAAAGTTTTAGAATGCCTTATTTTAACCTGAAAATGCTGAAGTTATGCTTATCATATTCTATTTTTTATTTTTTATCACGTTCATTAGTCTAGAAGAAAAAGAAATAATCTGTGTTCAATAAATCATAATGGTCTTTGAAAATCTCTGAAAAAATAAATAAATAAATAAAAATGGAGGAATAAACATGTTTTTATAGATTATTATTTATTTTTGCTCGAGACCTGCTTACATTTAGCATTTAAAAATTAAATGTATTTTGATTGCTTAATAGTTTATTTTAGAACTCTCACATAATAAATAATGACAAATGAAAAAAAAAAATCTATTTTGGGTTATTAACAATTTTTTGAGAAAACTGTTCAAACAATTTTTCAAGTTAGAAGGTTAGAATGATTTAGAAATTTTAATTAAAGATTTAATTTTTCTTTTACAGCATTATCAGAAATTTGCAGAAACAGATTACTATCATACAAAGAATCCATTAAAATTCTAAATGAAATGAATAATACCATAATGATATTTGTTAATGGACTTTTAGAAAAAGTGTTTAACGAATGAATCAGATGTTAAATACACTTATTTATACAAATAAGTGATATAATCTATCCTGTCTATCAAAGTTCATCAAGAAATATTAGTCATTCATAATTGGTACCAATTTAATTTGATTTGATAACCTTAAAACTTGTATTAATACAATCATACAATACATTTGATATTTTCTCATCACTTCTTGCCCATAGGTGTAATTTAATAAATTAATACTCTTATAGTATTTTTTATTATTATTTGTACGTTTCGGGGTTACTTTGTCCTCCTCCTCAGCATATAATTAGTCACCGTATAAGGTTAGTCTTGTTTTCAAGATTAGTCAATACTGTAAAAATAAAACAATTTTTCGATTTTGAATATGAGTACTAAGATCATAACATCAAATATTAAACAAAATTTGTATAAATTAATGAATATTTTATTAACACTTTTCTTTTTCTACTCACATTAGTCAGTAATACTGACAACTAGTGAATATGCTGTCAGAAAGTAAAATTAAAAACCGAGTTTTTCAATGGTTTTTATTAAAGCATTTTTTTATAAAATTAATTTTCTTTTGATACCTCTTTTATCAAAATTTATCACTCTAAGGAGCCGAAAAAGAGAAATATTATATTAAAGTTTTTTCTAATAAAATTGAGAAATTTTATGTAAAACTAAACAAAAAAGATCTAATATTTACCATGATATATTTAAAAACATATTAACTAACATGTTTAGACACGTTTCGCCGGCTTTATCATCTGATAACGATTTCACAGAAATATGAGGTCGTTTTATTCTATATAGTATATGTACATATTAATATGTTCTCAATTGTAATGTATTTATAAATGTAATATTTTCTAAGAATCTTGAGGTTCAGTTGTAATAAATATTCAACTATATTTTTTTTACAATTTCTGAGTACTCAATTTAATTTTCTCAGTAAATTATGGGAGAATAAAGTTCTAGTTGTGCATGACTTTAAGATTAAACAGCGTTAAATTAGCCTTAATTAATAGGCAGCTATTGTTGACAGATTGCTCTGAGTACATGCCTCACCTATCTGAACCTCTCTGCCTTCATATCATGAGATATTGATTGAACAGTTTCCGCAAGTAGTTCTTTACTGGGTCTACTCCTCTGTAAATTACAAAAGTGTATGTTAATCTAAGTAAAATAAAGCTCTAGAACCGCTGCTTTCAAAAATGGCGGCTGATTTAAAGAATGTTAGGCCAGTAACTGTATATATGTCTAAACCCACATGTATAAGTTAAAGAAACAAAAACTTTTCTCGCATATTTCGCAATGAATTTCCCGTTTCGATCCTCAAGTTATAGGCCTAATATTCTTTAAATCAGCCGCCATTTTTTAACGCAGCGGCTATGGAGCGGCAGGCAAACTTTATTTTACTTAAAATAACATACACATACACTTTCGTAATTCCCATTGAATACTTAGCCTACGGTGAGGTCGATTTTTGGGCCCTGGCTCCAGGGCTATTTGTAATCTGATCATCGTGCCCTTGGCTATCGTGTAAAAGATTTTTCTCTCCAAAATTTCAAAACTTCTTTCGAGGGTGTTGGTTTATTTCCAAGTTCCACAATAGTATATCAGACTGGCTTATTCACAGCATGTTATACCCTTAATTTGAAATTCATTGATACTTTTCGGTATTTCAATACTTTTTCAATACAGTCCCATCTAATGCATTTTTGTCGAAGGCGCCAAATACCGAATGGTGACACAATATTAGTGTTATTTGCCACTCAGACAAATTAATTTTATCTAAAAAATGACGACGAAAATACCAAGGTTAACCCAGTGTTAGTCATATCTCGATAAGTGTATTGTTCAACAAAGATAACTTTAGTAAAATATTTTGAAGGTAGTTTTATTTGTAATTGTATAAATTTACTTAATATCTCCCATTGCAAATAAAGATGTTGCAAATTCAGTTAGAAACACTCCGTTGTACAGTTAAGGAGCTGAGAATTTTTTATTGAAAGTCAGAGAATTCAAGATTAAGGTAGGAGTCGAATACTTAAATTTATCTTTCTAGTCGACTGAGACTTCTGGATACCGAACAGTCGTGGGTAATATATTTTTAATTCAATATGTTTAAGAAATGGATAAAGAAGTTCTTGAAGTTGTTCTGAAGAAGTTTGCCAGGGAATCGAAGATCATCTCAATCGTAGATGTCCAATCAGTACCAGCATTGCCAAAAGGAGAAAATTACACCTCTACAATCTTCAGAGTGACATTGAAAGTGGTCTTGGGTAACGGAAGACTGGCCAAGAAGTCCTTCATCATGAAGCAGATGATAACGGAAGGAGTGAGTGGGGAACACGTGAAGCAGCAGAATGCGTTAGCAAAAGAAAGCCAGGTAACCTTTGTATAAATAAAAAGGAACAAAAACTGTATTTCTATACTCACCTTGCCTATAGGTATAATAATAATGCTTAGCGAACCCGATTGTTCGTTGCCGATACCGATAAATGTCTTCTTCCACCCACCGGATTCTGTCTAAACACTAAAAGATTAACTATTTAGGAATTCTTTCGTTACTAAGCCCAGCGATTTCGCATGCCCATTTTATTCGCCTCAACTTATTCATCTCAATTATATTTACTGGATACAGTTCACGAAATTGTGACGTAGGATTACCCTATTCACAAATCTATAGTTCACAAAATACTAAAAACAGACAATAAGTATAATTCAACAAAAGTGTTTGTCGAATGGTCGGAAGAAGATAACATATTGAATTGGGATCTATGTTGTGATTTTGTTTTATACAATAAAATGTAAATTAGGACTAAGAATAAATATCCGGCCCGGAGGACCATGAATTGGGACCTATACCTTTATTTTTTTGTATGATATGGTTCAGAAGATGATTGGGTCTTTGAAAGAATTTAGTGAACTGTATTGATAGCAACTATAATTATATTAAACAATAAATCGAGATGGGGGTTTGGCGTATAAGGGTTTTACAAGCTGTTACTTGATGCATGCTGAATGAGGTAAGGTGGTCGGCCGGCTGCAACACTTCTCACTTCCATGGCTCCGGTAAGTCTCGAAGTGTTCTACTCCATGCCTCCTTTCATGGTAGAACAAAGAAAGAATTAAAAAGCCTTGAAGAGGGAAGAGAAGTCTCCTTCTGGCTTCAGTCGTACTTTTTTCTCCTAGTCTTAGTGCAGACGGCGCCACCATCGTTGCAGTGTTGCCTTGAAGATGGTTTTGTTGTACCATATGAAAGGGGGGAGAGATTTAAAACCACTTTAGGGTAATCAACCCTAAACACATATTATACGTTGAAATGTGGGACAAAACATCCCCGTTCCAATAGTTAAATTATATTGATGTTTTTTTTAATCGCGAACTGTAGTCAAGGTTGTAGATAAGGGGAAAAAGTAAAAGAATAACATCACATATATTCAAACACTGCCTAACTTATATGTATTAGGTTTTTTTTTTTTTTTTGGTGACATTAATTATTTTTCAGATATATTCGGTAATAATCAAACAGATGAATTACCTAATGGAAGAATTCGAAGACACAGAAGAAACTCTATGGTGTAACTGCATTCACTCCGATCTGCACTCATCTTTTATCCTCCTTGAAGATCTAAAGGTGAACAAAAACTTTTTTTTTGGATTGAAATGACGTAAATTTAATGATGATATTGTATTTTCTGTAGGCAAGTGGTTACAGTGTGGTTCCTAGACAGATGGGATTGGATTTGGAACACGCCATCATAGCTCTCAGAGGTTTGGCGAGGTACCACGGCATGGCTAAGGTTCTAGAGGAGAGGGGAATCATCTCCAAAGATGAATATGTGCAAAAGCCCTCTTTGACCAACTTGAAACTCATCAAAGCAATACCTTACGCTGGTATTATAAATTTTGGTAAGGTTATACAGGAGAGCTGGGGTCCTGAATGGTAAGTTATCTTAATTACGGGAATGCAATCATTAATAATTTAATTTATATGTGCATTAAGATAAAACAATGTTTTCTTTCTATAGCTTAAGAACGTTTTGAAACCGTTTCTTTTAGAGGAAAAAATTTTAACTTATATTAAGATTGAAAATGAGGTAGCTCAGTGGGTAAGCACTGACTTTCAGAGCTCAAGATCCGAGAGTCGATTCCGGCTGATGACTAGTAATTTTTCATCAACCGTGGGTCGACCTGGCGCCGAGAAACCCTCCTGGGACAAACCCAGCCTCTATAAAGTGGGTACTCTAACTTAATTAAGGGAGAAAACCTGGCGGTTGAGCGTGATTGGCCCATCAACTCCCTGTACAACCGTTGGCCTTGTAACAGTACTTCTTTACATTGTACTAAACCAAAGACGCTTCATGGGTTGTTTGCGGTAAAGATTTTCTTTTTATTAAGATTGAAAATTCACTTAAGAGGTTTCCAGAAAGTCTGAAATATTAAGCTTACTCCAAAATTAATCTATGATACGGGCGAATCCAAGATGGCAGCTTTCGAGATGGAGCTCCCCAAAGTAGAAATTCGTTTTTTTTTTTTATTATTCCATTTTTCTTGCGTGAGCAATCGGAGCTAAATATTTATCTTTTTAAATTTTCAAGACAAGTATTTCATCTATCTATTAAATGTAAGCGTAAGTCAAGGTTTTAGACCGATGTTAATAATTCGATAAAAAGTAGACTATTATTGGATACATCTACAGTAACGCCCCCAATCCACACCATACCTCCAAGAAGCATTATTATTTCAAGAATTTACCTCAAAATGAACTTTTTGAAGTGTAAAATTTAGGCGCGTTTTGCGCTTTTTTTTTTTTTAGAGTGAATTAGATTGATCTGTCAGATTTCCGAAGTGTTAACGCTCAATTAAAGTTGGCGAATGAAATATTTTTATACATACGGATTAAAAGATCTCAGAAACTAAAAATCGGGCCTGCATACTCTAAGCGAGAAAATTGTTCAGCATTCTATCCTCTCTGTAATGGGTTATCATTCCAAATTGTATCTTAACGATACGCCGTGTTAAAGAGGAGAAAAGAAAATAAATAGTGTCGAAAATCAAATTATAATGAGTTTTATGAAAGATTATATTTCATATTATTAATCTTGTCTTGTTAATATTTTCACTTTTATCATGTGGTCCAAACAACACACCTTAGTTTTTTAAATTATTATTTAAGAATTGAAATTATTTTTGCTATTTTATTTATCAAGCTCAATTTTTTATACTTCCTAAATCAGTTGAACTTGAAATTTGAAATCTTCGAACACAAATTCACACGATTTTTTTTCCATATAAGTACCTATTTACTAACGCAGGTATGACGTACTAACAAATGACAACCTTTTAAAAATAATATATAAATATTTTATTTTGCAGGGAAGAGACTGCAAAGAAGCTGAATATACCTTTTGATAAATTTGCTACAAAACTCAATCATGTGTTTAAAATAGACGATAATGAATTCGCCGTTCTCAACCATGGCGATTGCTGGTCAAACAATTTGATGTTCAAATACGATTTTCAGAACAGGCCAATAGCTGTGAAGTAACTAATTAATACTGCACAAATATATACAATTAATTCAATGTTTTTCATATTTTTATTTTAAGGCGGTTCCACAGCTTTCTTAGGCATCGCTAACACTAATTCTTGATAAAAACTAATATATAAAACATGCATAGAAATTTATTTTTAAATATATAGTTTATCATAAATAAATATATATATTGCTTTTTCGTTCATTTTAAAAGATTTTCTTAATTTTCTTCAGATTTTTAGACTACCAAGGACCCCGTTACAGCTCTCCATGCATGGATATCATGTACTTCATCTACCTCGGTGTCCAACCTCCAGTCCGTCGAAGTAACTACGAACTCCTGCTGAAGACTTACCACGACTCCTTAATTAGCTCGTTGGATAAGTTCGGCTTCACCGGTACCAAGCCCACACTCGAGGAAATAACAGCTACAATGAGCCGTCTCGAGTTCTTCGGACTAATGCTATTCCTTACGGTGTATCCTGGTCTTACGAGTTCATCCGAAGAAGCCTTCGACTTTGAAAAGTTGGTGAAAACGGATGGAGCAGAAGGATTCAACAGCGAAGTTGTCAAAGAACCCGGTTTAAAAGACAAGATGGGACCGGACATAATGTACTATGTAGAGAAATATCTTCAAAATCTTTGAATATTTTATTATTCAATAAATTATTTATTAAATATTATAATACATTTATGTTGTAACAGAAAAAGTTTAAGAATATTTATTTGTACCCGAGTTGGCGAAGCCACGCGTAAGCACGTTATATGCTAGGATTAATTTTTAGGGGTGCGGTTATATTTTATTACTCAGTTATTACCCTGGAAGAAAGAGAAATTACCTTAATCAAATGATGTCGAAGTAGTCCTTAAAATTCTCTTCAAAAAATAAATAATAAAAAAAAATGTAACTAAAGAAACAATTATTGATTTCATGGATGGAAGAAATGACAATTGCGAGTAATCAAAATAAAAAAGAATATAACAAACTATAATCATTTATAATATTCGATTGGTGGTTGACTGTTGTGAATAATTGAGAAGGATGGTTGGGATGCTCAGTCAAATAAAAAATGGCTAAAATAAATACTATACAAGTTCAGGCCTTCATCAGGGCTGAGAAAAGAAACAGATAACAATAGGTATGACAAAAAAACAAAACAATGTAGGTAGAAAAACATAAAGTAAAATGAAGTAGATAACTGAACATTAAAGTAAAATAACGTTGATAGATAAATAACAATTACAGATTTATTAACTTATCTTAGTTTTCTTCTTATTTTCTCCTTCCCGTCACTCTATTCTCCATATCTCCATCTCTACTTTGTATATATTGATACATTTACACATTTATTTATTATTTCTAGCGGTATACTTTGATAGATTTTAAAATATCCCAATTTTCTATTTATATCTATTATTTCCTTATATAACTTCATATTCCTATTTTACATTTTATTCTATGATTATCATTTTTAGTTCTAAGTGTTATGATTACCATAGCAGTTCTAAGTAAAACTCCTAGCTGAACACATATCCCTGAAGAAGACCCGCAAAGTCGGGTCGAAACGTTGGCTTTTAATAAAATAGTTTTGCCACTATTTAACCTATTTATGACAGCCAACCAGGACTATCTCCTTCCTTTATAATGCAACGGTCAACAATTAAATATTTTTTTTTCTTATTTATTACATTTGATTTTAAATTTCAACAAATACTTACCAAACTTCTTATAAACTCTTGTAATGAATTATTATAATCTGGTTTCAATATAATCTATTAACTAAAAAAATCCAATTTATATTTTCAAAAGTTTCTAAGACATCTACTGAAAAAGTTGAATAAATGTCCAACAAGTTTATTTCAATATAGCAATTCTTAAAAATTACTTATTTACATACATATAAATGAACATACAAACACGTTTTTTGCATTCTTCTTTCTTAATACGAGATAAAAATTCAATGTTAGGTTATATTTGGAAAAATTACAACCAAATAGCCTGATGTCTCAAAAGTTAAATAAAGGATTTAATAATATATCAACATTTCGCCAATTCAGGCAACATCAGAGCAGAAAAGAACAGGCACTCGAACATCACTCCATGATATCCAGTCGCATACTGGAAGGAAGGTAAGATTATAACACTGCTGAGAAAGATTATAATCAAACAGCTGATACGTTGACAGGTTTTTTTTTGTATTCTTTACCTGAATTTTGGAGGCACAGAGATGTGGTGCCGTTCGTACGAGGATCCTCGTATTTGTACGTGGTTATGACGTAATGTACGAGCTACGATGCTGACCGATCCTCGTACCTCGTACATGATTTTTGCTGATATACAAAGTTATATTTTTATGAATGAAGTTTAGATTTTTTTTACAATTATTATTTATATTAATATGTAATATTTAACTTCTGTTTCTTTATAATTATATGTGTGTGTGTGTGTGTGTGTGTGTGTGTGTGTGTGTGTGTGTGTGTGTGTGTGTATGTGTGTTTAATTTTCTAGAAATAAAATTAAAAACAAAAATTATCATCGTTATTTTTAAATATTTTTTTTTCTAAAGATTCTTATCAAGTAGAAAATAAGATGTAAGAAGGTATATCCAATATGTTCTTCATAAAACTACGATTGTTACATAATTCATTTAAATAGTTAGTGAGCTAAATAAAAATAAAAATATAATTATAAAAAATTAAAATTTACTCATTTCAATTATATGATACCAATTTCCAAACTTCAATGAATTCATAATAACGTATTTTTACTTTATTTTCAATAATAATAGGAATATTGTATTCTTTAAAAAGTTTATTTTGATTTTTTTATTGTTATAGAAAGTTTTCCAATAGTTTCTTAAAATTTATACAATTTTGTATATATTTAAATTAAACTCATTTTACTTGTTGGCCCATTAACGTAAAACCATAATATATATATATATATATATATATAAAGCTTTTAAAATATATCGATAGAGGTAATAAGCAAAGCTCTGATATAATTTTACTTTAAAAAAAAATCCTTCAATAGTACGAATTTGCATTGAGCAAGTATACCAGGATATACGAGGTTTGAGGTGCCAGGATTGGTCACAGAGCGCGCGGTAACACTCGCACAGGGTTGTGTTGTTGAAGTTATTAAAATTTTACTTTATCTAATCCCAATTATTGCATGCTTTTTTTTTTTTTTTGTATTTAACAATAAAATAACTTAAACATAATTTATTAGTTGGGGGTAGGTTTTTAGGAATGTATAAAATATTTGTTGCATAGAAAATTTTACTTCATACTTGGAACATATTTCTCAACAAAATCAATTATATCCGGTCCCAATTTTTCGATCATTCCAGGCTCTCTCAATATTTCTTCATTGAATCCCTCTTCACCATCAGTTGTCAAAAGCTTCTCCATGTCAAAAGCTTCTGTCGATGCACAGATAAGACCCGGATATAAGCCGACGAAAATCACTAATCCGACGAACTCGAGTTGGTTCATTGTATTGGTAATTTCTTCAAGAGTTGGCTTGGTACCAGTGAAACCGAACTTGTCCAAAGTTCTGACCAAGGAGTCGTGGTAAGTCTTCAGCAGGAGTTGGTAGTTGCTTCGACGAACTGATGGCTGAGTACCGAGGTAAAGGAAATTGGTGACATCCATGCATGGCGTGTTATATTGGGGCATTTGGTAGTCCAAAAATCTGAAAAAAATTCATAACAATTAATATTAATAATTTCGTCATTCAAAATCTACATAGAAGAGAAAACGTTCCTTAGAGCAGAAGAATTGAAATGACTCGGCTCCTTAATAGCCTCAATTGTGGTTATTGATCCACGGCCAAAAATAGACCAGCGTATAAAAAGCGCAAACAGATCTTTTTTATCTCTCTGAAAGGTATTTAATATTCAGAAAAAAAAAAAACCTCAAGAAATTTCAAATTAAGGATGTACAATGCTATGATAAAGCCAGTTCTAATATGTGGCTGTGGTACCAGGGTACTAACCAGCGCTCTAGAAAAAAGTACTTTTCAGTACTTTTGACAGGAAAATCCTTCACACAATAATAGAAGCTGGGATCAGAATAGGAACGCATGGAAGAAAAAGACTAATTAAGAACTGGTTATAGAGACTGGTAAATCAATATCCTACAATATGAAGGCAAAGAGGCCAAGATGGGGCATGTAACTTGGAGAACTTCCTAACCTCCACCACACGGAATGCCATACACCAGATGGTTATCCCACATAACCAATTGTAAATAGTCGAATATATGCAAATATAACAAACTAGCAGAGCGGTCTTTCTCCGTTCAATCAATGTTACAAGGCATCGTAAAACTGGCAAATTGGCAAACCTTCCTTCTTCTTTGCTTAAAATGCCCTCTGGTGGTGAAAGGACAAAGCTTGGGGAATATGTAAGTAGATAGATAGATAGAAAGTAATCTTTATTCTGGGACGAGGTCCCTTATGAATAACAGTTATGAACAAAAAATAAAAACTACATCTGGCCAAAAATTACATTAATCAATATTAAAGAAAATATACTGTTTCTCAGTAAAAGTATATTTAAAAAAGTAAAAATAACACTATTTTGAAAAAACAAAAACATTATTTAAATGAAAAAAACAAAACAAAATAATATAAGCATTGGCTGATTTTTAAAATTAAAACTCAATCAATTTTAACAACCATTCGCCTCAGTCAAAATCTGTATCGCAATTTTATTTCATTGTATAACGTCATTTTGGGATGTGAGAAGGAATTGGTAGAGATGATATTTAAATGAGGACAAGGAGGAGGCATAGCGGATATCAGATGGCAGGGAATTCCAGAAGGCAGTGGATCGGGCAATAAAGGAATATTCAAAAGTCTTAGTTCTATGGGAAGGGATATAAAGGTCGGAAACACGGGATCTTGTTTTCTGGGAGTGGACGACGGGTTTGAACTGTAGAAGACTGTAGATGTAGGAAGAGTGTCGGGTGTTGATCGTCTGGAATAGGAAAATCCAAGGAAATATTGTCTGCGGAAAGAAGGGAAGAGCCACTTTAACTCATCGTAAAGGTGGGACACATGAGACCGCCTCGATGTACCGAAGACAAAGCTTAAGCAGGTATTCAATGAATCAACCCAAAAACACCTGTGGGTCGAAACGTCGGCAAAAATAATTACTATTTGTTTAATTTAGTATTTATTTGACCGCACCCCCCGATCAACTCCTTCTCATATTATATCAACGTTCAACCATCTTTACATCATTATATATATGTATATATATATATATATATATATATATATATATATATATATATATATATATATGTGTGTGTGTGTGTGTGTGTGTGTGTGTGAATAGTTACAACAAAATTATTTACTAATAAGTTTGCCTTACATTATCTCGAAATTGGTACATTTTTGGTCTTTAAAACATAGAACCTTCTTACCAGGGATGTCCTGAAGGGGGTTTCATGGTGCAAATTGTTCCATCAGAATTTTTGAGGAGGGTAAATTTTGACGGGATTTTGATTTTTTAATTCGAACATTTCGACGGGGTTATGAATTTTTGAAATGAAAAGATTCAAGCCAGTTAACAAGCGGAAAACATGAAACTTACCAGAGTGTATTTGTACATGATGTCCAATTGTTTTTTCTTTATTCTTTCGTTTGCACTATTTATGAAGATGAGAGCAATAAAATATCTTAGGAGGGGGAACACGAGCCATTGACTTTGGGGGATGGGCACCCTTGCTCAATACCACTTTCCAAGTATTCGTGCTTAGCGGTATTTTTATATAGATTTTATTTATTTTTGGCAGAAAACAAAAACGGAGAGTATAATTCGCAACCCAACGTAAAATTCTGAACCAATAGAACTCATGCAATACTTATGGTATTTTAGCGTGAGAGGAAGGAGTCTATATTTGATACGAAACCGATTTTTAGTCTGATTAAAATAATGTATTTCGTAATATGAAAATTCTAGTTAAAAATTAATATTATGCAAGGGTGAACGAACAAGTGGATGGAAAGGTAACGAATGAAAGTGAAAGAGCTGTGAAGAAAATGAAAACAATGATAAAGACATAATTCTGGTCAGAATACCCTTCAGTACTCAGCTGCTGTAAGGTACCGGTGAAGGTATTTGGGAACATGAAGGACTTGAGAATGGATAATAACAGAAATTTATAAAAAATTAAGAAAATTACAAATATTTGTAATAAACATAATCACTCACTTCACTCCTATAGGTCGCTTCTGAAAGTCATATTTGAACATCATATTGTTTGACCAACAATCGCCATGAATGAGAACTGTAAACTTTGTCTCAGTATAAACCTTTCCAGCTTTGCACCACTTTTCAGCAAATGGATCAAATGGTACCATCAGTTTCTTTCCAGTTTCTATCCTATAAAGTAACTGTTATATTATATAAATAAAGTAACTGTTAAAACTGGTAAAGAACTAGGACTCGAAATAAACACGGATAAAAATGGCGATAATACTGGTGATATCGATATAGATGGTAATATGTTTGAACAGGTAGATAAGTTTAGGTATCTAAGTTCTACGATAACTAGAAAAAACGAAATCGAAGAGGATATTAAGGTTAGGTTGAAGGCGGGAAAAGCTTTCTGAGACAAAACTATTTCGCTCGCGCATCTTGTCCCGGAATTTAAAGACTAGAATCTTTAAAAACATAATCCTACCTACCGTTCTTGATGGATGCGAAACGTGGCCGCTAACATCAAGGGATGAGCAACGTCTGAAGGTTAGGTAGAATATTCGGACCGAAGAAAGATGAGTTAACGTTGCATAACGCCGAGTTGCCTGAACTGTACCCAGTTAATATAATTGAGGTGATTACATCGCGGCGAATCAAATGGGCTTGTAAAATAGTTGGACTTAGTAACGAAAGAATTCTTAAAAGATTGGTATTTGCTGTACCGAATGGTAAACTTCCGAGGGGTCGAAGCGCAGGTGGAGGGAGGTGTGTAATTAGCGATTGGTGTTGGCGATATCGCACCTTCGGGTTCGATAAGGCTTTTATTATTATTATTATTTAACTGTTAAAGCTGTCCTACAACGGCCGTATTAGACCTCCGGAAAGTCCTTTATCTTTAATCCCAGTAAATGTAATCACTGTTTTCTCAAAGAAAATTTTGAATACTTTACGATGGTGTTAGAATTCCGTTTTTGTCAGGACTCTTGTTTTGTCATTAAGAGATAAGACACCCTGTATAGTTTGGTTAAAAAACAGATTTGAACAGAAATATAGATTGCCCGGCGAGCGGCACGATCCAAGACTTGCAGGTCAAGTCTGGTTCAGGATAAAATAATACGAATTAGAAGGAACGTAACCAAAGAGAATAAGCCAGTTATTGGTATCTCCGTCTTCTCGAGGTCTCTTCTTGATTTCTGGCCACTTTTATTTTTATTATTTTTTTTTTTTTGTTCTTCCCTACCTCGCCTTTTATGCTATACGGGATTTTCCCGGGCCGGGGGGTGAGGGCGAGGAATTTAAAATCCCCTCCGGCACCGGGACGCGAACTCTTACTTTTTAATATCATCTCAAATCTCTGTTATCCGGTTGCCAGGCAACTAGCGGTGCTGTTACACACGCTTTAGCCTATTCGGCCACCCCGCCCCCCGAAAACATATGTTAATTAACTTCATAGTCTATCGAACCTTCTTTGATTTCTGGCCACTTCTTCTAAGTACCAACAACTGCTTTCTTCTTTAGAACGAAACCTCCGAGTCTCTACGCCCGTTTCGTTAAGTTCTTCTTGCACTCCCTAGCATGGATGACCATGGATGATCTCCCCAAGCTTGAATGAGACCCCCTGGTAAGGGGTCCAAAGAACGGTTCAGTTAGACGGAAGTGTTTATCACATACCTTAGCAGACTGCGTGCGAAAGGGCTCAGAAACACAGATAAGAAACCAAGTACCGAGCATACTCTTACATAGATATAAATAAATGAGGTACAAGCTCTATAATACCATAAAAAAATAATATATATGTATATGTGAGAGAGAGAGAGGGGGGGGGGGAGATCTAAAGCTTACCATTCAGGTCCCCAGCTCTCCTGCAGAGCCCTAGCAACATTCGAAATAGCTGCGTAAGGTATCGTTTTGACAAGTTTTGTGTTACTATAAATTTCATTAGGCTTATAGTTGTCTTTGGAAATGATTCCTCTCTCTTCGAGAACCTTAGCCATTCCGTGGTACTTCCCCAAACCTCTGAGAGCGAGGATGGCATGGTCTAAATCCAAACCTTTCTGTCTAGGAACCACACTGTAACCACTTGCCTTAAATAACAAAAAGTATAATTTAAAAATAATTAAATTAAATTTAAAATCAACTAATTATTATTTTCATTCACATTTAGATCTTCTAGAACGATAGAAGATAAGCGCGGATCATAGTGAATGAAGTTACACCACAGAGTCTCATCCGTATCTTCGAATTCTTCCATTAGATAGGTCATTTCTTTATGTATCACAGAATACACCTGAAAATATAACATCAATGTAAATGATTGTTTATTGTCAATAACATTAAGCAAGTAATTTGTATACATGTCCATTTTTTATTCTAGTAATGTTGAAGTTTTCTGAATTAAGGAAGATAACCTAGCGGTTGAGATTGATCTCGGTCTAATCACCTCCTCACACAACCATTGACCAAGAAACAGTGTTTTCTCTAAATAGCAGAGATGGGAAAATGCTGCTCTGAGTACCGAATATCAAGTTTTTTACTGAAATTGAATCCAATCACTACTCCAGTAAATCCTTTGACATCAACTGAACTAGTAATTAAATTCTTTGGTACTTAAAAAAAGGTCAGTATTTGTGTAAAATACCTGCTGAACCCAAGACGGTACAGTAATTGTAGTGGTACAGGTTTTTTAAAAAGTAATTTAAATGCTTACGTGGCTTTCTTGTTTGGCTACATTGAACTGTTTCATGATTTCTCCTCCCGACCCTTCAGTGATTATCTGCTTCATGATGAAGGACTTCTTGGCTATCCTTCCATTGCCCAAGACCACTTTCAATGTTATCCTCAGGATGGTCGATGTATAATTCTCTCCTTTGGGCAATGCTGGCACCGATTGGAAGTCTATGATAGAGGCGATCCTAGACTCTCTGTCCAACTTCTTTAAAACTACTTCAAGAACTTCTTTATCCATATCTACAATATATGAAGGATATAAAAATCTATTAGCAAGAAATACTAAGCAGCCCCAACAAGTTATAAAATTTATTATTATTGTGACTTTGAATAGATTAAATATCATTGTGTTTTGAAATTATACACAGCAGGAAAAGAGAGAAAAATAACAGTAATAATAATAATAATAGAGAAACCAAACATATAACAAAAAAGATAACGTTATATAATATTTATTTATTTGATTTTTTTTTTTTTTTTGTTGCCTCTACCCTGTAGGGTCATTGGCAACACCTTTGAATTACACTCTGTTGTAGAATTTTATCATTTTTAAGAACTTTAAAGTTTTTTTAACTGCACTTTCATGGTCTTGTAGATTTTCTTTCAGACTCTTTGCCATGTCTAACTTTCTCCTTGTAGGATCAAATGTAGGGCATTCTTGAATAATGTGCTTTACTGTCCTTTGGACATTGCAGCTCTCGCAGGTCGGAGGATCAAGTCCTCTTAGTAGGTAGGAGTGCGAGAACTCACAATGTCCAATTCGCAGTCTGCAAAGGGCTGTCTCCTCTTTTCGAGATGGTCGGTACGAGGTTTCCCATTTTAAACGTGGGGCGTTATATAATAATAATAATAATAATAACGTTATATAATACGTTGCCAAGCAACTAAATAATAATATGTATTTATATTATATGAAAACGAAATGGCTTCTGTAATAAATTAGTTAATAATTGTATGTAATAACCCAATTAGTGCACCATTTCTTTAAAAAAAATATTTTCCTCTATCTACGTAAGAACAACGTAAATCAAAAGAATTAAACTACTTTATTTACTTTTCAATCTTCAAGACTGAAATTGAAGAAAAATAGATACTTATTTAAACTCCCTGCAGATATACGGCATCGCCTAAAAGACCCACTTACAAGAAGTTTAAACTTTTTAATTTTTTCGAAAATTAAAATAAAGCCGGTAATATACATATAGACAATCTCAAAAAAAAAATATTAAAATTTTATAAAATATTTATTTTTATCGTCATATGGAGCGGGATTGCCAAGGACGTAGGTCTAACTTTTTTTTACCTACTAACACCAAAAAATTTTTTATTGAAATAAGTCCTTAACCTCTTGTCAATTTTAAAAACAACTCATATTGCTTTTGTATTTTTTTTTTAAATTCTATAATGTTTTCAAGATTATTTTATAAATTAAAGAAGACTATAAATAACAAATAATAATAATAATTTTGGCGATATTATTCAGCCGAAAGTGAGAAATGTCGATTATTATAAAGGCCATTAAGTATATTAGCCTGAAATTGACACTGACATCTCAGTTGGATGGTTAAAGATAGGTAAAATATGCGGCGATACCGAAGAGTTTTCTATAGCTACTTAAGAGTTATTGCAACCAGAGCTTACAGAAAACATATACTAAAAGAAAACTTGCTCACTCAGTGATCTCGCTTTTGCTCTAAGATGAGTGAATCTATCCACCATTGGCTCTTATCCTCATTGATGTCACTTTACAGGGCTTAAATGCCCAATGTTTATATACGTCTTCCTCTAAAGTACCTTTAATATGGTATATTTTAAAATGTTAATCATTTCACATTATTTAGAGTTACGAAAAAATGCTAAATATAACTTTTGAAAGAATTTGATAAGTTAATAAAGGAAAAAAAATAAAAATGCAGAAAAACCTGCGTTGCCATAGACTGCAGCGATTTCAATAAAACTTTGCTAAAGTCATTTCCTCGACACCCTTTAAATTTATCTAAATAACATACTTCAACGAAAAGAAGCTGGAAAACAAGTTACGAGGGATGGTAAAATTAAATTCCAAATAACTCAAAAAGTATACACTTTTCTGGGGATGATGTGATAACATGTTTCAAAAGTATGTAAATTGCCCAAAAACTAAAAGAAGTTTCATCTAAATCAAAGCACTATTAGTAGAGATATGGAGATTTTAAAATATTTTTACTTTTACTTATGAAAACATGTAATATATAGTAAGGATAACTATTGCGATCGAGAAAATTTTTGAATCTGAGTTTTCAACGGAAATACACGTTTTGAGGTACCCTGAGTAGAAAAAACCAAGACCCGAAAAATGGTCTGTGTGTCTCTTTGTCTGTGTGTTTGAATGTTAGCAGTCTAGCTCAAAAACGAAAAATCCTACGAAACTGATATTTAAGGTAGGTATATGCCATAGATAGGAGAGCTCCTTTTTTTTAAAAAATCGGCTGACCGGAAGTGCCACTTTATATCAACGCTGAAACACATTTTCACAATTTTCTCAAAAACGGCTCTAACGATTTTGATTAAACTTGGTGTATGATTATGAAGAGAAGAATAGTTGGGGTGGTCAGTCAAAAAGGAAGGCAAAAGTAAATGAAAATATTTATTTTTACATATGCCGACGTTTCGACCTGAAGTTCAGGCCTTCATCAGGGCTAAGAAAATAACCAGATAACAAGGTATGAGAAACATAAGTAGTGATGGTAAAAAAAAAAATAAAATAAAATAAAATAAAAAAATAAAATAAATAAACATAAAGTAAAATGAAATTATTAGAATAATGACTAAGAAATAAGAGATAAATATTATTATTATTTATGTTATTATTATTTATCTCTTAGTTCTTAGTCATTATTCTAACAATTTAATTTTACGTTATATTTATTTATTTTATTTTATTTTATTTTTATTTTTTTACCATCACTACTTATGTTTCTCATACCTTGTTATCTGGTTATTTCCTTAGCCCTGATGAAGGCCTGAACTTCAGATAGAAACGTCGGCATATGTAAAAATAAATATTTTCATTTACTTTTGCCTTCCTTTTTGACTGACCACCCAAACTATTCTTCTCTTCATTATCCACGATAATCAACCAATTACCAATTATGGTGTATGATTGTATGATTAAGTGGCATTTAATATCAATCAGGTCTTTTTCCCATTGATGTCACTTTACAGGGCTCAAAAGCCCAATGTTCATATACGTATTCCTCTAAAGTACCTTTAATATGGTTTATTTTAATATGTTAATCAATTCACATTATTTATAGTTACGAAAGAATGCTAAATATAACTTTTGAAAGAATTTGATAAGTTAATAAAGGAGAAAAAAAATAAAAATTTGGCTAGGACGGAATACATGATGAGGAATAATAATGTTCCAAAAATATACCATCAAAGTATATGTTGAACATTCGGACTACTGGGCAAGGATGAGGTACCGTAATTCTACTGTTTCTCCGGAAAAAAACATTAAGAAAATTGGAATGTAAAAGTTTATTGGGATGAATAAAATAATAATGGAATATAGGGTACAACATAACCAAAACAAATAAAACCTTTCCTCTATAAATAAAACGTTATACCATTTGAAAAAAGTAAAAATTATCCTAGTCATATCTTTAGCTGGTCTTATACTGAAAAGCACAACAGATCTTTGACTTGATTTGGTGTATTTAAAATCAACACAAACAGGATTTTTGAAAATTTAAAGAATATTATTAAAATATAAGTAAAATCATACATCTACATTCTCTTGAGTAGTGTTACCCAAATGCAAGAGCTAGGTGAATATTGGTCTTGCACAAGAGTCTCGCAGTTACCAATTGGATTATTGCTATTTATTAAACATATTACTTTAGATCTTAGAAAGCATTACAGAATAGGTACAGTCAGATGTTTTTTTGACATAATCATAGTAAAGTCTAATAAAATGAACTCAACAATATACTAAAGACATTTTCAAGAAAGATAGTGATAGGTCCCTATCCCACAATGGAAGATAATGTACTTATTTAGTTTTACTTTTTTTTTTACTAATCATCCTAACCATTCTTCTCTTCAAAGTATTTAAAATTTTTTTTTAATTTTTAATTTATTGAGAAATATAGTAATTATTGTAAATGAAGAGAAGAATAGTTGGGGGTGATCAGTCAAAAATAAAAACTGCAAAAATAAATAATAATATTTATTTTAACATATGCCGACGTTTCGATCCGAAGTTCAGGGCTTCATCAAGGCTTAAATTAAAAAAGAACCATATAACTATAGGTATGAGAAACGTTGGCAAATGTTAAAATTAATATTATTATTTATTTTTGCCATTTTTATTTTTGACTGGTCATCCCAACTATCTCTCTTCATTATTCACTACAGTCAACCATCAACCCACAAGTAATTGTTGTAACATGGACAATAATTTTAGTGAGATGACATTCACACTATATGTATAGAAAATATTCTTTTTTTTTTTGGTTTTATATTATTTTATTAAAATTTACAACTGTAAATATATATAATAATAATAATATACAACTATTAAATCTGATATAGGAATATATAACATGGAAGTACTGGTGAAGAAGCTACTCATTGGTAACACTTCAAAGACAAATTAATTTAGGAGGTCCCTTAGCCATCTTCTTTTCAGACACCTCGGAGGGTTGTCAGAAATTATATTGGATGAAAGGTTACGAACTAGATGATTGGGCATATGTAAGTTTTATATTAAAAGCAATCTATACAATGTCAACAATTATTTAAATAAAAAATCTGGTGATGTAGAGATGGTTGACCGTTGATATGATATGAGAAGGAGTTAGTCGAGGGTGCGGTCAAATAAATAAAAAAATTAAAATATATAAATTGTTTTAATTTTTGCCGACGTTTCGACCCACTTTGCAGGTCGTCTTCAGGGCGTAAGATGTGGCACTGCGGGAGGCAGTTGAAACACACACAAAAAATCTGGTGTGTCTACTCACATGACTTTACTATAGATTTCAAACAATATTTTTCAATGTTAAATATGTTCATTAAAACGAACATATTTAAAATAGGGAAACCTAACTAAGCCCCGAATTAAAAATTTTAATAGTTAAATACAAAAATATAATTGGTTCTACCAATTCTTTAAATAAAACAACTAAAATTTTCTAGTATTACTAAATATTTTGCCTTAATTTTTATTTACGAAAACGATTTTTTTTTTTTGTTTTTATCAGTCTTGATCTTTTGACAATTAGGCGGTCTTGGTCTTATAAACTGCAAGACCAAGACCGATTTCGGGCAACATTACTCTAAGAGTGTTTTCGGAGTGTGGAAAACAAAGAATATAAATAAATAATAATGGACTCCTACCTTATCCGCGCCTCCAAATGGCTTTACAATCTATTCACTATCACTGTTCCCGCACAGTTCCCTCTCTCCCAGCAGAGTGCGACCTTGTAGCACCGCGGCCATTTTATATAAATGAAACATACTTCAGCTGAGAACACTTCTAATTTATTACACAAACAATTTGAAGAATAATCTGAATTATATCATTGGGTCTGAGCTCTTATCTTCTGTTGTTCCCCCTATTAAACCAGGACGATACGAGTCCGACTGTCTTAACAATGTATTGCCTGGAACAAAATCTATAAACCCCCTTGTTCTCTTTACCTTTGTCTTTTATTGAGATGAAGCAAAACCTGAGGAGGCTATTTCTATATCATTTTACGAACTAAAAACCTATTGAAAGGTTAAATAAAGGAAAATAACTCTATTATCCCATAGCCACTTCGGATAAAAGATTTTTTAATTAACAAAAAAAAAACAAACAGATATGGTATAATTTTAGTAAATGATACAATATAATCTCAGTAAATTCAGTAGTATTTATTCTGCAGGGGTAAAAGTTATGGCAATTAATATTGTTGTTTGTGCAAAAATAGTTCAAAATTCTATGGTTACGGCGAGTGGTGGGGGCAGATCAGAAGATCTAAAAGTGATATACTGAAAGAAATTTTAAACCCTTGTAATTCTATATGAAAAAGATATTCCACTGCAGGAGTGGCGGCTTGCCAACATATGTTTTTCATTGTCGTCTAAAATGTATTATATGTATAAACTTATATGACGTACTTACAAAGAAATCTTTTAGTAATAATATATAAATATGTTATTTTGCAGGTAAGGGAAAGCAAGAACCTCAATATATCTTTTGCTAACTGCTGAATATATATTAATATATCTGCTGAAAAACTCAACCAAATATTTTAAGCAAATGAGACTGAGTTCATTGTCCTCAATCAAGATGATAGCTGGAAACAATTTGATGTTCAAATCGGACTTTCTGATTAGGTCCAATATCAGTTAAGTAAGTAATTAATATTATACACACATATAAAACTAATTCGATGTTTTTCCTATTTTCATTTAAAGGCGACTTTACACTTTCCCCAAACAACGTAAATATCTTGGTAAACAAATAACAATAAAAGAGCTTTTTCTCTTCCTTCCTTCACTTCATTTTTCTATATTATGGGATGTGCAATTTAATCACTAATCATTTCCAATAAGTCGTTTCTTAAGACGAACTGACCAATTGACATCATGACAATGATTTAGTTATGTTAGATGATGTTGTAAAGTATGTGGGAATAAGTAAGATTGGTGTATCTTGTGCGTTGTGTTGATGATGTATAAAATCACTGCCCATGAGGAACTCCTGTTTAATAGAATAAAGTTCTGAGTCTTCGTCAATAGAGAAAACTCTGTAACTAAGATAGTGCTGAAGAATGAGTTGTAGCTAGGAAACACTATAAACTTTAGTTAAACAAGTTTCTGATTCCAGACTATATCAAATACTGGAGCAGAATCCAGAAATACTCTCATGTTGTTGTTTTTTAAAAGTAAAATTAGATCAGAGCTATGCTTACTACCTTTCGTCATATATTTTAAAGCCTTTTTAGATTATTTTTTTTAAGATAGTGGGTCAAGAAGTAAAATTAGCTCAATTTGAGACACGAAATTAAATACATAAAAAACTGTATATATTTTTAGAAACTATTGGAAAACTTTCTATAAAAATTGAAAAAAAAATATAAATTTTTTATACTAAAAATAAAGGGAAAACACATTATTATGCCTTCGTCGAAATTCGAAACTAGGCGTAGCATAATTGAAATTAATAAATATTATTTTTTATTTTGCTTACTTAGAACTGTTTAAATGAATTATGTAACAATCATAGATTTGTTGAAGAAAATAATGGATATACTTTCTTATATTTTATTTTATACTCCGTAAAAATCGTAAATATTTTTTTAAAATGACGGTGACAATTTTTTTATTATTTTGTTTTCAAGAAAATTAAAAAAATAAAAACATATAAAAGCAATCATGGTTTTATGAAGGAAATAATAATGACACTATAATTTGAAAAGATATAATTACAATTTATTTGTCTATAAAACAACAGAAGATAAGTATTACATACTAATATAAATAAAACAGTAAAAATAATTGTAAAATAAATCTAAACTTCATTCATAAAAATATAACTTTGTGTAAATCAGCAAAAAGTCATAACCACGTACAAAAAAGAGGTTACTCGTACAAACGCTGTACAAATAAGGAAGGTTATAATCAAACAGCTGATACTTTGACGGGTGATTATAACCTAACAGAAAATTTTACTTTAGACAAAGAATATACCCGTCAAAAAAATCAAACTTATCTACCTCTAATGTTTCAATCATTCCACGTTCAATCATTTTATTTAACAATGAAACAACAATTAATAAACACTTTAATATCGGTTATTAGTTATAGGTGGGTATTTCTTAGAGCCAGTTGTACAATTGGAGTTCAATTCATGTTCAAGCTTCATTCATGAATGAATGAAGAAATTCATGAATGATTGAATGTAGTTCAAACTTGAACTTGACTTGAACTGTGTTGAATAGAAAATTTTACTTCAGACTAGGAACGTACCTCTCAACAAAATCAATTATATCCGGTCCTAATTTTTCGATCATTCCAGGCTCTCTTAATATATCTTCATTGAATCCCTCTTCACCATCAGTTGTCAGAATCTTCTCCAGATCAAAAGCTTCTGCCGATGAACAGGTAAGACCATAATATATGGAGACGAATTTCGCAAGTCCGACAAACTCGAGTCGGTTCATTGTATTAGTTATCTCTTCAAGAGTTGGCTTGGTACCAGTGAAACCGAACTTGTCCAAAGTTCTGACCAAGGAGTCGTAGTAAGTCTTCAGCAGGAGTTGGAAGTTGTTTCGACGTACTGATGGCTGGACACCGAGGTAAAGGAAATCGGTAACATCCATGCATGGGGTATTATATTGGGGTATTTGGTAGTCCAAGAATCTGAAAAAAAAATCAAAAGAATCAGGCTAAGCAATAATTAATTTTGACAATTTCGTCTTAGAGGATCTCCATAATAACCTCAAAGCACTCATCAGCGGTTGAAGATAGATTTTAAAGGTAAGGTTGTTTCTAAAAATCTCAAAGGATGTACAAAACTATGATAAAGCCAATTCTGATCTTCGGCTAAGAGAAGTGAACACTAACCATCATTCTGGAAAGAAGTAAAGAAAAAAAAAAAGATTATCCGCTCAATAACCAGAGCAATAATAACGCATACTGGAGAAAGACAAATAAAGAACTGGTTTCAATTATTTTTCTATCAATATCTAATGACTAGGGATGGGCAGTTCCGAATACAATTTGGAACGGTATATAATCCACCACTGGAATTCGTTCAAATTCTCGTTCCGTTCCATCTTTGTTCCGAAAAACTAAATACAATAATAATTATTTAAAAACAAAATTTAATAAAAATCAATAGTATTTATAAACTTTAAAAAATGTTTAAAGAGTATTGATAAATCCGATGACTTATATATGTAGTTGAAAGAAGTAAAATAAAATGCGAAATCTTTTTAAACTGTCCGGAATGACAGTCATAAAAAAAAAGATAAATTAGTGGAAACTAGTTCAAAAGCCTACGATTCGACCTAACTATGCAGGTCTTCATCAGGCCTAGAAAGAACAAGAATTGATATAAATAAATATAAAAAAAATTAACACAGTAAATAAAAAAAAAAATAAGGACATTCAAATATAGAGAAAGTAACTATAATAGTATATAGTTTCAAATAAATTAAATCAGTACTGGTAACAATACTGAATACAATAAAGTGTATGGTTGATTTACGTAGTCATGAATATAGTATGACAAATTTAGGTAAAGATTAAAAAAAAAAAAAAAAAATGTAATATTACGTATTACCGAATAAGTGGATGAAAAAGTAATAATAATAAAAGGCTTAGCGAACGCGAAGGTTCGATGCCGACACCACCAATCGCTTATTACACACCTCCCTCCACCGTTCGCCGTCCAAACCCAGTCCCTTCAGATCGCTCTTAACGCAATCTTTCCACCTTCCCTTCAGTCTACCCCTCGGACGTTTAACATTCGGCACAACAAATATTAATTCTTTCAATAGGAATTCTTCCTAGGAAGGAAGAAAATAGGAATTCTTTCGATACTAAGTCCAAAAATTTGACAAGCCCATTTAATTTTCCGCGATGTATTCACCTCAACTAAATTAACCGGATACAGTTCACGCGATTCGGCGTTGTGTAACCATCTAAATTCCTTAATTAACTAATCCTTTTCGGTCTGAACATTCTACGCAATCTTTAATTTGGAAAAACCTCAAGAATTTGCTCATCCCTAGCTTAATAAATCGAAATAAAAGGATAGTAAAGAAAATTAAAAGAATGTTAAAAATAAAAAATATTTTGAATAAATATAATCACTCACTTCACTCCTATTGGTCGCTTCTGAAAGTCATATTTGAACATCATATTGTTTGACCAGCAATCGCCGTGGATAAGAACTGTAAACTTTGTCTCAGTATAAATATTTCCTACTTTAGACCACTTATCAGCAAATGCATCAAACGGTATCACCAGTTTCTTTCCAGTTTCTACCCTGTAAAGTATCATACTGATTAACTATGATTAGCACTATTATTAGTGCTTAGTTCATTATTTTTTAAACAAAATACTGTTTACCGAAATCAGCCAACAGAGTAATAGGCAGAATGACTTTTAATTATATCAAGATATTTGCAGGGATTGGTGGCAACACTGATTTTACTATTTGGTACACACTGATGGTTCTATTTGGTTTTTGACTGTTATAAAAAATATGAAATAAAAGTGTTAATTAAAGATTCTTGTGGAATTATTGAACATTACAATTTAAAATCACGCGATTTAGTACATGGAAGGTAAGTAAGATATGGTATTTGCGTATTTGGGACAAATAATGGAGTTTTCTCTCAAACATGAATGGAGCCACTATAAGCCAAGGTTAGAATATGTTGTTTGAGCGATAATAGTTTAAAATTCTCTCGGTACGCCGAGTGGTGGGGGCAGATCAGAAGATCTAAAAGATAACACTTAATCCGTACGAGCGCTGATTCGCTCAATCCATTCCAGCACTGAGAGCCAGAGAGAAAAGATGCTCCGAGAGCGCCCTCAGGTAAAGTTGTTTTAAGCCGGCATAAAAATGGTAAGCTGTTTTTGCACAATTCGTATAACCTACCAATCCATTAAAATACAGTCCACTCCATAAATAAGTACAATATTCCACATAATTTGAACGTTGCCTATTAAGAACTCATGAGAGTTAGTTGACTAAACAGGCGTTTTATTATGCGACAACTACCACGGAAGACGAAACGAAAAAAGCTATTTTTCTTAATGCCTCAACATAAGATGCTTTTAATCTTTTTTCTAATGAGTATGTTCCAAAAGCTCCTATCGATTTAAAGTAATCTGAGCTTCTGCCACGATTCGATCTTCATTTTGTGCAGGAACAGCTCGTTTATGCCGATAGATATAAATTTCATTATTCGACACGGGAATCAAAAGAAGGCGTAAATGATTTGTTAGGAAGAAATCGAGTTTTGTCAGACAATTGTAAATACATCTTGGATCTAGATGGTAGGATTTTAGATCAGTTTGTGCTTGGAATGGGAAAAGGAAATATCAGAGATAGTCTTCTGGAGAAGATTCAATGACTTTAACCACTGATAAAGAATTGAAATTGGTAACCCAATACGACTTAAGCCAGAAAGCGATTAAAGTCCGTGGTACAGGCCCCTTTTTATCAAATTATTAACATCCGACAGAAACTTCGTATAGCTTCATTTCATCGTAACATACAAATATTTTATTTACTAAAATTCTCGGAATTGGAGCGTTTTAAACCTGGAGGTCGATAAACTTTGTCTATTTAATTAGAGCCTAAATAAATCGTAAATGCCCATTCGCTTTCCACTTTAATCCGACTTGAACACAAAGTTGGGAAAAAAGGTGGCCTTCAAAAACATTGAGCCGTTTGGCGTGACCCCCATTCCCAAATTGTCAAAATAACGAGGTTATAAAGGCCAAACGGTCCAATATTTTTGCAGGCCACCTTTTTTCTCGACTTCGTGCTCTAATTATCTTACGATTCAAGTGGAAAGCGAGTGGGTATTTACGAGTTAATTAAAAAAAAACCACTATTTCTTTGAAAACACACTATTTCTCTGATATCATCTTTTTATTTCTTTATCAGACAACTTCTTCTTATTTTATATCCACTTATATTCATTTATTTTATTTTCACCATGTACCTCTTATATTTTCTATCTTTTGTAGCCCTAATGAAGACCTGCAAGGTGGGTCGAAACGTCGGCAAAAAAATTAAATAATACTATTTTTATAATTCAGTATTTATTTGACCGCACCCATGATCAACTCCTTCTCGTTTTATTTATTATATATACTTTTTGATTATTATTTATTGTTATTTTGTTTCTATTTGGTTTATATACATATTTTTTTAATATATAGTGTGAATGTTATAGTAACTCACTATAACTAATACCCAAGTGACAGATTGTTGTAATACTCAATAAATAAATTTTGAAAAATCCTTTTTAGTTCGGAATCTACCCATCATGCATTTTGTCTAAAATCGCCTCCCAGAGTTTGGTCATTAAGAAATGAGACACTCCGTATAGTTGATTAGAAAATAAATTTCAACAGAAATATAGATTGCCCGGCGAGCGCCAAAATTCAAGGTCAGCGGGGCAGGATTGTATCCTGGTTCAGGATAAAATAGCACGAATTAGAAGGAAGGTAACAACGCAATAACGCCTTCATCTCGAGGTCTCTTCTGGGCACTTCTTCCAAGTACCAACAACTGCTTTCTTCTTTGGAACACCACTTTCAAGGAAGCCTCTTAGCCCGCTTGCTCCGGTCCGAAGAACGGTTCCATTGGACCGAACTGTTTATTACATTCCTTTATCAAATCATTACCGATCATCGTCCTTCTTATGCCTACAACGTTCTCCAATTTAAGTCCTCAATCCATTCCCTCACTACAAGATCTCGACCCTCTGACCTATACATCTCTTCTCATAGATCTGCCTCATTCCAAAACTCCTTTATAGCCAGCTCTGTCAACTTTTGGAATTCCCTCCCGATCAAAATTCGGCAAACCTCCTATTCCAATTCCTGTTCCAAAAACAGTCAGATACCTATTAATGTATTGTGTAGCAATCATATAATCATATGATAATACTTGGTAAGAGATAGTACATGCATTTCCTACTATCGAAGCAGGAATTTCAACACATACATTTTTGTTTATTCAATTATAATTAACTTTATACAATTAAAGTTTTTTTATGAAATGAACTTATTCTGTTTCTTTTTCGTTCTTCATTTCTCAAAGTGTATGTTTATGTTGTTCAACCCTTATATATATAGTTTTGTTCATAGTTTTAAGTGTTTTGTTCATAGTTTTATCTGTATTGTATATAGCTTGTTTACGTAATGTTTTCTTTACTTTTTAGTTTATTTATTTTACTTTTTAGATTATTTATCAATTTTATTTATTGTTTCAAACTTTTAGGCCAGTAGTATTCTATTCTTTTGTACAATTTTATAATTCTACATTTTGGCATTCTAGAATAAAGTTTTTTTTCTATCTATCTATCAAAAAGACTGAGTGCCGAAAGACCTCAGAACCACAGATAAGAAGCCAAGTACCGATCAATACAATACTCCTACATAAATATAACTGGATTGGCAGAGCTGGAGAAAGCTGGTCAAGGTGGCAAAAGACTTACGAGGTCTTTGATAACAACAGAAAAAACAAGAATAAATACAGAAAAAAACATAGATTTAAAAGCTTACCATTCAGGACCCCAGCTCTCTTGCAGAGCTTTAGCAACATTCGAAATCCCTGAGTAAGGTATCGCTTTGATAAGTTTCGGATTAGTATAAAATTCATTTGGCTCATAGTCATCTTTGGAGATGATCCCCCTCTGTTCAAGTACCTTTGCCATCCCGTGGTACCTTCCTAAACTTCTGAGAACGAGGATGGCATGATCCAAATCCAATCCTTTCTGTCTAGGAACCAAACTGTAACCACTTGCCTAAATATAAAATAAAAAATATTAAACTTTACAACTTTTAAATATTACTTAATTAAACAAATTTTTATTTTTATTTACATTCAGGTCTTCTAATAGGATATAAGATAAGAGCGGATCATAGTGAATGAAGTAACACCAAAGAGTTTCATCGGTGTCTTCGAATTCTTCCATTAGATAAGTCATTTCCTTGTGTATTACAGAATATATCTGAAAATATATCATTATATAAATAGGCAAACCCAAATCAGTTCAGCCCCTTTTACTCCTCTACTATTCAACAGATTCTCTTACTTCATTTTTTGTTTAATAGATACTGACGAGCTTTAGTGTTATCAATAAATAAAAATATTAAATAGTGTGTAAACAAAAATATAAATGGTGGTTTGTTCAAAACGGCTTATCTCAGAAAATTCTTCACCGATTTCTTTCAAATTTTGACACATCGTCACAATAATATTTAGAAGTTTTTTCATTATCATCGGGCCTTTCCTTTCGAAATGGCGGTCAAAAACGTTATTTGCTTTAGACTGTAGCGCCAATGGGGCTTCAACGATTTCAATGAAACTTGGCTAAAGTCTTTCCCTTGAAACCTTTATAGTTTATGTATTTAACATACTTTCCCGAAAACAAGCTGCATACATATTTATGATGAACTCAGTATTTTATTTGCGAATAACTCAAAAAGTACACATTTTTTCATCGATAATACCAATATTTATTTGAAAGCTTACTGAATTTCCTACAAAATAAAAAAAAATAAAAATCATCGAAATTGATAACAATTATCTCCGAGATAAAAGATATCGTAGCGGCCGTAGGAGTGAAGTGGGTTCAAATATTTTTTCAAGAAGGAACAAAATTGAGATTCGCACCTCGATAAATCTCCAATTACCAATTTTCACTGGAATTGAAAAATAAACATTATTTACGTAAAATTTTCAAGGTAAGAAGTTCTGAATAAAATGGATTTAAAGTGAATTTAAATTGCTAATTTAAATTAATTTTTTACTTGCTTAATCATATCATTAATTTATTGTGATAATAACACATATAAATTAAAAAGAAAATTAAATATTTTTGAATGAATCTATTTTGTATTACTTATAAATAATTTTAAATGACTTAATCTCGATTTTTAATTGAAATTAAAATTTTCTTTGTATTAATAAATGAGGATTTTTGAATCGTGATTTACTCTTTATTTAATTATATATTTTCCTCAAATTTTTAATGGCTATGGTCGAATTTCGACTGGGCGAACACTAGTGAATAGAAATATTTTTTCCATCATCAATATTATTTAGCAAGTAATTTGCATACACGTCCATCTTTTGTTCAAGTAATGTTGAATTTTCGAAGTGAAAACATCTTTAGGCGCACTTACCACTTTTTGTGAGTTGTGGATGAGACTGAACAGTCATTTGTAAATGTTATTACTGCGTGTCCGGAGGTAAAGAAGATCAGGTCTACTTTTGTTTTTGTTCAGAACAGAATACGGAAGTAATGTACTCCCTGTCATATTTTTTTGTTCGTTCAGGGGAGTCAACATTCTATAACTTTGAAATATTAAAATTTGTTTCTTAGTTACTAAATTATTTATTTAAAAGATGGACACCGTGTCATTTACCTTCGGTGCACAGATATATAAAACAAAAACAAATATAACACTAAAAACCGGTCAAACCACCTCCTTGCACAAACGTTGACCAAGAAACAATACTAAACCCAAAACCGTTCATGGTTTTTAGTGGTACAAGTTTTTTTTTACGTAATGTGAATGCTTACCTGGCTTTCTTTTTTACCTACGTCGCGGAATTTCATAAATTCTCCTCCTGGTCCTTCAGTGATTATCTGTTTCATAATGAAGGACTTCTTGGCTATCCTTCCATTGCCCAAGACCACTTTCGCTGTTATCCTCAGGATGGTCGATGTATAATTCTCTCCTTTGGCCAATGCTGGTACCGACTGTAGATCTATGATAGAAGCGATCTTCGACTCTCTGTCCAACATCTTCAAGACTACTTCAAGAACCTCTTTATCCATTTCTATAATGTATGGAAGATATATAAATCTATTAGCAACAAATGTTAAGTAGCCCCAACAAGTTATAAAATTTATTGTTATTTACTGAATAAATGTTTTACTACATGGGAAATTTTAGTGTGTTACATTATACGCAGTACGAAAATAGATAAAAATAACAGTAATAATAATAATAGATGAATAAAACATAAGAACAAAAAAAAAATATAATGTGATTCAGTAATAACTAGTTGGCCATCTGCAGATAATTTTTTTAATAACATAAATTAATAATATTAATAAAATAATAATTGATTTATCTACATAAACGAAAATAATTACATCAACAGCAATAATTGATAGAGAAAAATAATTTATTTATTATAGAAGCAATTTCGTTTTTATATCAAATAAATACATATTATTATTATTTTCTTTATTTAACTTGCTTTTGGGAATTTGGAGCTGCAGGAGGGGAACAAGACCAACCAGGGATCCCCCCCCCCAAGGCTGATAAGCCTCTCCCAGGATATTTTATTACTCTCTGCTTCTTAAAAACAGTGCAAACGAAAGTAGAATTTTATTGTTCGTAGATTATATACAATTACACATCCTGCGGTCTATTCCATGCTTCCATTTATCTTTTGGTTTGAAACTTTTCATTTTGAAAATTCACAACCCTGTCAATATGTGCCCCCCTCATAAATTTTGATGGCGCAACTTGTGCCATGAAATCCCCTTCTGGACACACCTGAGTCCAATCACCTACATTAAGAACTTTCTTACTATTCTGGTCGTATCCAAAAGAACTGTCTGCAACCGTCTTTGGAATCAGTCAATTTGTTGATATCACGATTGGCGTTTTCACTGGGCTCTCCAAATAGTATAATTATTTTATTTTAATTGCCAATTCCTGATATTTCTTGAGTTTCTCACTTACAGTTGTGTTCATATTATTATCATTTGGAGTCGCGACATCCATAAGATTGGCTTTCTCAGTTCTAAAACCTATTATGAAAATTGCAAATTCTAGTTAAAAGAAAAGTTGCACGATCTTAGGCCAAAAAGGCCATTTGTGGGAAATAATTTATTAAGTTTAGACTGAACGGTTATCGAAAGCTAGTTTAGATCCACAAAACCAGGCATGGTTTCCTAATTTTGTCCGAAATTAAAAAAACAAAAAACATGTACATATAGACAATCTGATAAAACAATGTTATCATGGGTGATAAATATTCAGGACGCAGTCATTATAAGGCTTTTATTAGTGCCAACGTTTCAAGCCAAACATGTGGGTTATCATCAGGACTGAATTTTTTAAAAATACAATCAGAGATATAATATTATACGACTAATAATGGTTAATAATGAAAAAAATATATTGATTGATGGTACATGAATCTTAACTAATATTACAATACAAATATTACTAATGAAATATGTAGAAAGTTATACAAACTAAAAATAATGTATATAATTGATTTATAAAAATTGTAATATTTTTTCATACTAAGCGTAGTTCGAGATTAACAGAAATGTTACATCTCTCCCCCCCCCCCCTCTAACTATGTTTTTCTACCTTTTTCTATCGGAAAAAGAGCAATTAGGAAATTCTCTCCTGACCTCTCAAACTTACCTAACAAATTTATTAGTACTTGAATATCTTCAGTGCTCGAACCACGGTTAGTAAGAGAAAATATTACAATTTATATAAATGAATTGTATACATTGTTTTTGGTTTGTATTAATTTCTACACATTTCATTTGTATTGTAACTTTAGTTAAGATTCATGTATCAATCACTATATTTTTTCATTATTAATATTATATCTCTGATTGAATTAAAAAAATTATCAGCACTGATGATGACCCACATGTTTGGTTTGAAACGTCGGCACTAATAAAAGTCTTATAATGACTTCGTCCCGAATATTTATCATCTACAATTTTATAAAATATTTACTTTTATCGGCTCCTAGGGCGGAATTAACAAGAACGGTCGGACACGGGGTTAATGTCTTGTTGACTAATAACACCCACACTTGTTGACTAAATATTTTATTGTAATAGGTGACCCCAAGTCCATATCTTTTAGTGTTACCCAAATTCGATCTTGGTCTTGCAAAGTGCAAGACCAAGACCAAGGCCGCCTAACTGTTGCAAGACCAAGACCAGGACTGGTAAAAAAAAATCGATTTTTTAAATAAAAATTAAGACAAAATAGTTACTACTACTTGAAAATCTTATTTACTGTTCGTAAATAATTGGTATAACCAATATACTTTTGCATTTAACTCCTCTAATTTTTCATTCGGGCTTCGTTACGTTTCTCCTAACTAACAAAATACAGTAATATTTCTATAGTAATAAGCTAATAAGTAATTGCAAAACTGTTGCGAGACTCTTGAGCAAGACCAAGACCATGACCAAGACTGACTTTGCAAGACCAGGACTCGTCTCGGTCTTGCATTTGGACAACACTAATATCCTTCCCTAGTTGATTTTGAAAAGAACGCCTATTACAGTAGACGTCTATTTTTTGTTCACGATTATTTTTTAATCTATATAATACTGTAAATAATAAATAATAATAATATAAATAAAATAGCCTACCTTATTTACAAGTGTTGCCTTCACAACTTGTTCACGGTCACTATAACCCCACCGGTCGCTCTCTCCGAGCAGAATCTGTGACCTTGAAGAGGATCAGCTGTTTTATATATACATATATCATTCATACTTCAGATCACAATTTTTCATTGGGTCTGAGCTTTTATCTTTCTGTTGTTTCCCCAACCAGGACGGTACGAGTCCGGTTCGATAAATTCATTGTCTCAAAAATTTATTTTCAAGAACGTAATCCACAAAGATAACATTGCCTTTTATTAGATTAAAGCAAAAATGGGCGTTTGAGAATAGTTGGGGAAACTGCTGAAACTAAGACCCTTCATCAAGAGTTGAATTAGTATCATTTTAATTAATATTGTTTTCATAAGCTAATTCGAAATTAACTTTTTTTTTAGTCCTTAGAAGGTAAAGATAAAAGCTTTTGGACATTTTTTAATAAAAAAAATCTTATGTGCCCACCCATACGAATTTCCTACCTATTTCAGAAAAGTTTTTATATCCTTAAATATGTCCATTAAGAAAAAAAAATTGAATTTGTTTTCCTGGAAATTGATCAAAGAAAAGATTTAAGTATGATTTCATTAGATATACTAAAGCAATGTAAACAGGCTTGTGGTAGATTATCATAAAAAAATCAGTACACTCTAGTATTGTTAATCGCATGACCGAAAGAGCTCAAGACGATTAAGGCATAAGATAAAAAATAAAATAAAATAAAAAAATAGTCGAGAGAAAACTTGTGTGATGCGGAAACAGATGTTCTTACTTTTCTTTTTTCTCTCATTCACTGCTTAGAGCCGTATTCTTACATACGAAATTGAATAGCTAGTCCGAAATAAAGGATTTTTATATAATTTCGTAAGGAATTTCGTTACTTTTGGCTCTGGACATATTATCAGACAAGTAGTTTTCCTACTCAGGGATCTCTGAAACTTATATATCCGTCGAAAACAGCTAGTCGGAACTTTGAACCGATCGCAATACTTTTCTTACCTAGTTAGCATAGGTAGGAAAACATGTGAAATAAATTAAAACATGTGTAGAAAATAAAATACTCTTTATTATCGCTAATACAGATTCGATTCCAATGCTTTTTCTTTTGTTTTGTTGGTAATTTAATTACCTTTCAAAAGTTTTATTATAAATTTTACCGTATAATATACACTTAGGGAGTAAGGCCACAAAACATTAGTGAATTAGTGAAACTGGATGATAATGGCACAGAAAAGAGACGTATGGCAGTTGCTGTTGGAGGAAGCTAGGACTTTTTACGGGTTTTTGTGCAATCGAGGAAGGAGAAGAATATGAGTTCTGAAACGCATTATATTAAAAATCTTCATATAAAATTTAAAAAACGATGGAGGTTAATTAATATGAAAAAAATAATAATTTTATTTGAATAAATATTTATTTGTACAATTATTCTAATACTTAATATTATTATACATTACATTTTCTTACAAACTTCAAAAAAATATTCACTTTAGATCTTATTAACTGCTGTAATGAATTATTTAAATGTGGTTTTCTAAATTTTTTTTTTTAAACAGATTCACTTATGGTTGTTCAATAAGTTTTTTTTTCAAACATTTTTTTGTGTGCTTTTAACGAAGAAAATACTAATAAATACTTCAACAATTTTTATTAGTTAGAGGTAGATATCTCATTAGTGTATTACAGTACACTTTTCTTATAAATTACTTATTCACATATAAATATAAATACACCTATACACACAATTGTTTTTCTCTTTCATTGACGAATGTCTGAAATATTTGTTGAATAGGAAAGTATAAGAGAACAAATATTATATTTGGCTCTAAATATACAATCATTCCAGACTATTTTTTTGTTTGTATTCAATTCAATTCAATATTTATTTGTTTTAATGCAAGAACCCTATACAAATTTAAAAATTTTAATTCAGAGTAGGGACGAACCTCTCAACAAAATCAATAATATCAGGCCCTAATTTTTCAACCATTCCAGGCTCAGTTAAAATGTCTTTGTTCAAACCTCCTTCTTCATCATTTGAAAAGATCTTCTCTAAGTCGAAACCTTCTGTCGATGAACAAATCAGAGCAGGGTATATGGAGACAAAAAGCACCATTCCGAAGAACTCGAGTAGGTTCATTGTATCAGTTATTTCTTCAAGAGTTGGTTTGGCACCAGTGAATCCAAACTTTTCTAAAGTTCTGACTAAGGAATCGTGGTAGGTCTTCAGCAGGAGTTCGTAGTTGTTTCGACGTACTGATGGCTGGATACCGAGGTAAAGGAAATTGGTAACATCCATGCATGGGGTGTTATATTGGGGTATTTGGTAGTCCAAGAATCTGAAAACAATAATAACAATCAGGAAAAGCAACATAAGTTCGCATTTCAGTATCTACGATGTAGGAAGATCGTTCCCAAGAGTAGGCAAATTCAAATACTTTGGCTTCACAATAATCTCAATGAATGACCAACGGTTGGAAATAAAACAGGGTATAACGAGTGCAAACAAAGCTTTCTTCCCTCTTTCAAAGGTATTGAAATTTCGCAAAACCTCTTCAGCTATTACATGGCGGTGAGACCTGGACACTAGAAAAATGTATTGAAAGATTTGAGAGGAAAATAACCGGAGCGGTTTAGAATCAGAGATCTAAAACAGGATGTTTCAGGGTTAAATGGAAAAACTGCAAAAATGAACAAAAATATCCTTTGAAGGTATGTCCGCAAAATGCTTTGATTAGGGGATATTCACACCTTAAGATTTTCTTTGTTATGAATTATTTACGTTATATGAAAACGTTCCTCTACCAAATCATCAACAAGTATCATCTTTCTTACGCCTACAACCTTCAAATCCTCAGTCCATTCTCTGTCCACAAGATCTCGACCTTCTAACCTTTACATGCCTTCTCACAGATCTGCTTCTTTCCAAAACTCCTTTATTGCTCGCTCTGTCAATTTCTATAATTTCCTCCCAAAATTAGACATTCCCCATCCACATCCACATTGAAAACACTCCTATTCCAATTCCTATCCCAAAAACAGTCAGATAGTTTTTTGAGATCCTTAGTTCATTTTTGCAGTTTGGCCACTTAATCCCGAAACATGGGAAAGATTGAAAAAATTAAGGTGTGTGCTTTAGACCACACGATAAAAGTGAAAACATCAACAAGGAGAGTTAATAATATTAAATATATATTATAAATAATAGCTCATTATAAAGAGAATTAAATGTTGAACAGTTTCCTCGCTTACAGTTGCTCTTGAGTTTCTGGGATATTTAATCCACATCACAAAAAATGAAGATAAGGAAATATTGAATACAATGAAGTTAGTGGTTTATTCATGTAATCATGAACATAATATGACAAATCAAAGTAAAGATTGAACAGGAAGGGAAAGAACTCAAAAATATGGAAGGATTGAATGAACAAGTGGATGGAGAGGTTAACAAGTGGAAGTAAAAAGATTGTGTAGAAAATGAGACTGATAAAGATTAACGGAAATTTACAGAACAAAGACGGTTACAAATATTTGCAATATAAAATTTATACATAATCACTCACTTCACTCCTATTGGTCGCTTCTGAAAGTCGTATTTGAACATCATATTGTTTGACCAACAATCGCCATGGATGAGAACTGTAAACTTTGTCTCAGTATAAACCTTTTCTGCTTTGGACCACTTTTCAGCAAATGGATCAAATGGTACCATCAGTTTCTTTCCAGTTTCTACCCTGCAAATCAGTATACTCATCAACAATAAATATTTTAATTTTTCTTATAGAGTTATTTATACTTAATAATCTATCCTAAAGATATCACACTAATGTTACCCTATTAATCTTTCAATTTCTTCACTTCATAACCTTTAGTCCCGTTATCTGTTTACTTACAATCAAATGTAACCTCCACTAGCTTGTAATCCACTGTTATCTTATTATTATATTATCTTATTCTTTTTTTAGATTTAATTCATCAATACTTATTCAATTTACAATCTATTTATTCGTTAACATTCATTTTCTTTATCTGTTAACCTACAGTTATCACATTTAATCTTTATTAGTTTGTTGTACACTCATTCCTTATTCTTTTATTGCAATCTGTTTACTTTTAACTTAAATGCAATATTCTCCTTTATTTTCTATTTTAATAATAATAATAAACCTCGCGCGGGCTCATTACCGCGTATGGGGAGCGTCCCACGGGTGGCGGATGTGGGGATGGTCGGTGGAATTTCCTTGGAAGTTCCTCCCGGCTAAGTCCGACGGACTCGCTGACCAACAATGAGAGGGGCCCTCCAGACTTGCTGGAGGGAGGGGACCTCCAGACTTGCTGGAGGTAGGGGCCCACCAGACTTGCTGGAGGGTGTGACGTAGGATTGAACGCCCTACTCACATATCTTTAGTTCACCAAACACCACAAAAAGTCATGGATCTCCCTAAGGTAAAACGCTCATTATCCGGAGGTAAACTAGTCCCCCGTTCGGGTCTCCGGGTGGGGACTGCTTTAGGGGATTCATGGCGCAAGTTGAAATATAGGGATTTAAATATTGGTACGTGGAACGTAAGGAGTTTAAAGACAGCAGGGGGGCTAAAATCGGTCGCGAATGAGATAAATGGGTACAATTTAGATGTCGTGGCTCTGCAAGAGGTTCGCTGGCCAGGGGAGGGCTCGATGAGGGAAGGGAAGTACACTATTTGGTACGGAGGAAGCGGGAATCATTGTTTAGGTACCGGGTTTCTAATTAGGCGTAGATTACTATCCGCTTTAAGGGACGTACAATTCTTTAGTGATAGAATTTCGGTAGCTACATTTCAGGGACGTTGGTTTAAAATCGCATTAATAAACATACATTGTCCGACCGAAGACAGTGACGATGAAGTCAAAAGTGAATTTTACGATAAACTCGAATGGGTTTATGATAAACTACCACGAAACTACATGAAAATAATTGTAGGTGACGCGAACGCAAAGGTAGGAAGGGAAGAAGTTTATATTCCGACGATTGGTAAAGAAAGTTTGCACGAATATAGTAATGATAATGGGATCCGTCTGATAAACTTTGCCATCTCGAAAAACCTGATAATTAAAAGTACGACGTTTAAACATAAGGATATTCATAAATATACTTGGACATCACCGGATTCGCAAACACGAAATCAAATCGATCATGTCTTGATACAACACAGCTGGCAAAGCAGTATAATTAATGTACGGTCTTATCGCGGAGCAGAATGTGGGTCGGATCATGAATTAGTAATCGCGAAACTTCGACAAAAACTTAATATAAAAAAGAGAAAAGAAAACCGTTTCGATTTTGAGAATTTTAATTTGGAAAAATTAAAAAATCCATCAATTAGAAACCAATTCGAGCTAGATGTTAAGAATAGGTTTGAAGCTTTAGAGCTTCCTGACGAGGACCACGAGGATATTGACAAGTTATGGATAGAGATCAGAGATAATATTAAAGCGGTCGGTAACTCGTGTCTAGGAAAAAAGGAAAATAAGAATAACAAACTGTGGTTTGATGAAGATTGCTTAAACATGTGTGAAAAAAGAAAAGCCGCTAAATTAAAAGCTCTAAATAATCCTAGCGAAGACAATCTGGAATACTTCCGAATCTCAAAGAACGAAACGACAAAATTGCTCAAAAATAAAAAAAGGGAGTATCTTAAAAATAAAATAATTGAAATAGAAACTAATAGAATCGAAAATAACGTAAGAGACATGTACAAAGGTATAAACAGATCACGTAAATATGTAGGGCCCGTAACGTCTGGAATTAGGGATGATAATAACAATATTCTGACCGATCCGGTTGACATATTGAATAAGTTTAAGGACCACTTTGACAATATTTTAAATACGGGAAATTATGATCTGTGTCCTCCTTCTGAGTACCAGAGTGCTGATCCGTTAATAGAAGGACCAAGTAAAGAGGAAGTTGAAGTAGCTATCGGAAATTTAAAATCATATAAAGCAGCGGGAATCGATAATAATCCTACTGAACTAATTAAGGCATGCGGAGAAGCTGGAGTTTCTAAAATACATCGGTTGGTTAAAAAGATCTGGATGAACGAGAAATTACCTGAAGAATGGAAAGAATCTATTCTTATTCCGATTCACAAAAAGGGTCCGAGGACGGATTGTAATAACTATCGAGGAATTTCACTCCTTCCGGTATGTTATAAAATATTCACTTTAATCTTAACCAGTCGAATCACGGAATACGCCGAGGAAATTATCGGAGACTACCAATGCGGATTTAGACGGAATCGTTCAACTATTGATCAAATATTTTCTTTACGGCAAATATTAGAGAAAAAATTGGAGTATAAAGGTATTGTTCACCAGCTGTATATAGATTTTAAAAAGGCTTACGATTCTATTGACCGCCAGAAACTGTATAATATTCTAATCGAGCAGGGGATTCCAAAAAAACTAGTAAATCTAGTCAGGATGTGCTTGACGGAGACACTCAATAATGTTAGAATCGGTAATAATTTGTCCGAAAAATTTGAGGTTCGTTCGGGCTTAAAACAGGGGGATTCTCTTTCGCCTGTCCTGTTCAATTTGGCATTAGAACATGCCATTAGGGAAGTAATGCGAACCGAGAAAGGGTTGGATCTGGGCGGGACAACATCCGTGCTGGGCTATGCTGATGATCTGGTACTGTTAAGCGAAGACGTTGAAACTATAAAACTAAATACGACAACGTTAATGAAAGCCGGCAAAGAACTAGGACTCGAAATAAACGTGGATAAAACAAAATATATGGTTAGCTGCAAAAAGGGCGATACTACTGGTGATATCGATATAGATGGTAATATGTTTGAACAGGTAGATAAATTTAGGTATCTAGGTTCTACGATAACTAGAAAAAACGAAATTGAAGAAGAGATTAAGGTTAGACTGAAGGCGGGGAATGCTTGTTATTTTTCTGTGACAAAACTACTTAGTTCGCGCCTCTTGTCCCGAAACTTAAAAATTAGAATCTATAAAACAATTATCTTGCCTACAGTTCTTTATGGATGCGAAACATGGCCGCTTACATTAAGGGATGAGCAGCGTCTTAAGGTTTTTGAAAATAAAGTATTGCGTAGAATATTCGGACCGAAGAAGGATGAGTTAACCGGAGAGTTCAGACGGTTACACAACGCCGAATTGCGTGAGATGTATCCGGGTAATATAATTGAGGTAATTTCATCGCGGCGAATCAAATGGGCTTGTAAAGTTGTTGGGCTTAGTAACGAGAGAATTCCTAAAAGGTTAATATTTGCTGTGCCGAATGGTAAGCGTCCGAGGGGAAGACCGAAGCGAAGGTGGGAAGATTGCATTAAAGCCGATCTGAAGGGACTGGGTTTGGACGGCGATTATAAATTCTATTCAATAGAGCTGCATAAAGATAACTGGAAAGAAATATCTCAAAACAGGCAGAGATGGAGAAGGCTATTTGAGACCGCAAAAGATTTACGAAGTTCGTAAAGTTAATAGAAACAAAAAAAGTTATATGAGAAGGAATTAGTCGAGGGTGCGGTCAAAAAAAAAAAAAAAAAAAAAAAAAAAAAAGTTATAGATTACAAAGCTTACCATTCAGGTCCCCAGCTCTCCTGAAGAGCCTTAGCAACATTCAAAATACCTGCGTAAGGTAACGCTTTGATAATATTTGTGTCACTGAAAAATTGACTAGGCTTATAAGTGTCTTTGGAAATGACTCCTCTCTCTTCGAGAACCTTAGCCATTCCGTGGTACCTCCCCAAACCTCTGAGAGCGAGGATGGCGTGGTCTAAATCCAAACCTTTCTGTCTAGGAACCACACTGTAACCACTTGCCTGAATATAAAATAAAAAATATTAAACTTTACAAATTTTAAATTTTACTTAATTAAACTAATTTTTATTTTTATTTACATTCAGGTCTTCTAGAAGGATATAAGATAAGCGTGGATCATAGTGAACGAAGTTACACCAAAGAGGATCATCGGTGTCTTCGAACTCTTCCATTAGATAAGTCATTTCCTTGTGTACAACAGAATATATCTGAAAGTATATTATTATTGTAAATGATTCTATCATCATCAATATTACTAATCAAGTAATTTACATCCATGCCAATCCTTTATTCTAGTAATGTCGAGCTTTATAATTGTTTTAACCATTATTACGTAAAGTTAATGCTTACCTGGCTTTCGTGTTTGGCTACATTCTGCTCTTTCATGAATTCTCCTCCCGTTCCTTCAGTGATCATCTGCTTCATGATGAAGGACTTCTTAGCCAACCTTCCATTTCCCAAGACTACTTTCAATGTTACTCTCAAGATGATCGATGTGTAGTTCTCTCCTTTGGGTAAAGCTGGTACCGACTGGAGATCTATGATAGAGGCGACCCTAGACTCCCTGTCCAACTTCTTCAAAACTACTTCAAGAACTTTCTTGTCCATTTCTGAAATATATCAAGCCTATATAAATCCTAGGCACTTCAGTTCCATGTGAAAACAGCTTCATATAACCTCAACCTTATTAAACCCATAAGAAAATAAGGGGTTATACAAGAAGAACTAAGATCATTGGATCTTGAAACGATTGGGTCTGCCGAACTAGCAACACACAATGAAGGAGCTTATTCATAACTGTTTGCTATTTCGAAAATTGTCGAAAAATGAGCATCAAATTTTGACAGCGAAGTCAAAGCAATTTTATTGGCACTGAAAGCCTTGTCACACTTACCAAAAATATCTTATTGTTTGTGAATCGTATTGATTCTTACGTGCCAATTTTCATTGTAATGGATACCAAGTCATAGTGGTCTCCATGGCAATGGAATGACTGATAAACTCGCGAAGAAAGGTTCCAAATTGAACCAGCCAGTAAATGAAATATCATATCATAGAGTCAGAAAAGAATATATAAAGCAAACGAGAATCTACTAATGGAATCTGTAAAGAGCAGTATTGTGGAAAAGCAGTGGAGAAAATTGCTTAATGAAGCAGATCGAGTACCCATGAACTTGCCGATAAACGAAGCTGTGGCAGAGTTCCGGATGATAACAGGCTATGATAGGAAGCATCTGCATAGAATAAAAGTGTAAGAATCTCCACATTTCATAAGATATACCACGTCGTCCAAATCGGAATGGTACTGGGCTGCAAGTTCTTTGATGGGGGAATATGATAAAGAGAGGTATAATTAATAAAAATGTATAAAAGGTTAAGACAATTTTCTTGGGTTATGACATTATAAATAGCAGGAAAAGAGAAAAACATAATGGATTAGAGAGTCGAAAACATGCAAAAACATAAAAAGCTGATTTGGTAATAATAATAATATATTAGAGAGGTAGGATTTGAGAACCAGGTATAAGGATTGGGGTAAAAGAGTTTTTAGCTTAAAAGCAAGCCATCGTGACAAATCCGTTCAATCGATAAGTGGTCAACAACGCGAAGGTCTTGTTAGACAGCTGAATATCTTCAGCGGAATCCAAACTGACGGGAAGGACTATTTTGAGATTCTAGTATGGGAAGGATGCGATTGAGATGGATTTTTAGAGTATTAGGAGCAAGCTTATTGGCCTATAGGATGAGTTATTAATAACAGGTTTACCATGTTTAGGAAAGAGGAAGATTATGGAATGAATCCTCATCAGAGGAAAGTGGGTTGTGCGGAGGATACAATTGTATAGATTTGTGAATTAATTACTTTTTAGGGAAGTTGTCTAAGGATCTGGGAAGTAAGGAGATCATGTCCAGGAGGTTTTAGGTTGTTTATAAGGAATTTGACCTCAGAGGGATTGACAGCTGTTTTTGGAGCGGGGTAGCGCAAGGTTCCAGATTCGAATCCGTCGAGAGACCCTCCTGGGGTACCCTAAGCTACTAAAATTAGGTACTCCTAATTAAATAATCAATTAGGGGGAAAACCTGGAACGTGGCGTCGGCCCAATGATCTTAGTTCACAACAGTTGGTCTTGTAACAGTACTGCCTGACATAGTACTGAACCCAAGACCCTTCGTGGATTGTGATGGTAAGCGACTTGACAGCTTTAGCAGGCAAGGAAAGAGGAATTGACGTAGATAAGAATTCTTTAATTTCAGCAGTATGGAGGAGAAGGGGAAGAGAGGCGGAATTCAAGATGGGGATATGTGTTTGGCGAACTCTTCTGCTCTAGTCTCTTATGACGAAGCCAAAAATCCATTGTTGCGTCGGAGGGAATGGGATATAAGAATTATTTTGGTAAATTTCAAGAGGAAGTTATCATTAGTAGGATTCCAATGAACAGGGAAGCATTTCTTTTAAACAAAGTATTCTGTAAGATATATCACTTATTGCAATTTATTTATTTTTTAATTTATCATTATATAAATAGTCAAAGAATTAAATTATATTAATCAACATTTAGAAGTTTGTTTAGAAAATTATCGAGGGCGATGGATTTCAATCTAAATTTGTTTATTTCACTGCCGACGTTTCAATCCAAATAAGTTAATCATCATCATGGCAATTATTTCTGACTAATGTAGTATCAAGATCTTATTGATGAATTCTTTTTGATTTTTAGAAGGTTACACAATTTCTCATAAAATAAAATAAAAATCATCCAAACCGCATCAGTAAAAGAAAAGTTTGGTGTATTGCTATGTATTGTAAAGACCGTCAGTGGTATTCATTTAATTATTTTAAAGGTATAAATAAATATCATAAGTGGCCACATCTGGCGATACCTGAACGAGGGTAACGACCCACAAGCCCAACCTTTTGTAAGTGGTAATAAAAACCTTTAAGAACCACAGAACCAAGACCGACAACTGAGTGTTTAAACAGGATCCCGAAAGACTTTTTCACACCTTCCACCAGAAATATGTAAATCTGTACCAGCTGCTTTACCTTGGCCTGGGGGAGAGGGCGTGGTCATCCCTTAGGCTAGGAATATCAATCAGGAAATTCAAATTCAATCAGGAAAAAGACTACCAAAAGAGAGCGGGATGAAGAAAGGTGAGAAATAGAGAATTGGGACTAAGGACTTGCTTTTGGGACTCAGAGGACTAAGGACTTCCTTTTGGAACTCAGAGGAGGAGACTTCTCTTTGGGACTCAGCTAAGGAGACTTCAAGCGGAGGAGTCGAGGGAGGAAGACGAAGACAGCCGGAGAGAGCAGATGGACGGACTAGACGCTGAAGGAGAGCAGAGACAGGGAATCCAGATATGACGGCTAGAAACACTATGAAGGACCAGCTAAGTGGTAACAAGCTATACTAACAAGTTATACTAATGTAAATTTGTGTTGGCAACCATACATCATTAATTAATATAATCAATATAACACATGTAACTTTAATCAAACACTAAACATTCTCCTCTAGTATGATTCTCAACTATTCATTATGTATATAGGTTTAGTTATTATTTTGTATATAGATGTTTTTGGTTTTATTTAAGCTTGTAAATATAATAGTTAGTAAACCAACGTAGTACTTTTACCATCTACCTTGCATGCCACCAGTTAGATATAGAAAAAATAGTAAATTTAAAAACATGATACCTTTAGAAAGGAAATCCAATAAAAATTATATGATTCAATCTAGGATACTACAGTAGGGGGTCTGTGGTATCTAAACATTTAAATACCTAATTAATATATTTTTCTGTAGATCGGTTCCCTTCTGGAACCGATATGAATACAAATATAACTATTAAATACAAATAAATGCGGTTCCTGGAACCCCCTACTCGCCGTAGAAACGCGAGGCCAGGAACATAGCAGTATTGAATTGTATACACTGATTTTGAATCTACCTATTGTTTTTTTTAGTTATGCATTTTAGAGATTTTTGTTTTTCTGAAATTGGTATTACAGTCCTGTGAGTGGACACTTCAGGCATATATAATAAATATACACACACACAGATATAAAATAAATACATGCATATATATATATATATATATATATATATATATATATATATATATATATATATATATATATATATATATATATATATATATATATATATATATATATATATATATATATATATAGAGAGAGAGAGAGAGAGAGAGAGAGAGGATTGTGTCCCAACAGAAAATATGAATTAAGAATCTTAAAACTAGAATAAAATTCCTGTGAAGGTATGTCCATTAACGTTTTGTTTATGAGATATGAGATAGATAAGAAAGAGTACTAACATGGCCTTGTTTCCCTAACTGTAGATAAAATATTGACAATATACTTAATACTGTTTGACATTAGGACTGGGAACTCTCAATAAAACTTATCAGTTTGTTTGACGGGATCGCAAAGTACTCACCATCATATCAGCCATTTGTGTTAATGGTGAATATGCCAACACAGCGGTTGTTTCCTGCACATTACGGAAGAGATCAAAGGCAACGGGTGTTAATTATCCAATCGAAGGATATCCGGCACGCTCTCCAGATCTGATCTCTTTTTATTAGGGGGGGAGAGTAGGAGGAGGGGGAAATCTAAACAAAACGTACACGCATGTTCGGTCAATGACCTAAATTCTTTATGTATAATAATAATTGAAACTACCGAAACAATACGTGGCTTGGGTTTGAAATGGTTCTAACCAGGATTTCAAATCGATAATTAAAAAAAATCAAAATCAAATCTGATCAAAATTTTATCTGAAATTTTTAAAAATCATTCCATGATTTTAATTAAGAACCATTTTTATTTCTGATCATAAGTGATAAAAATAATATCTTGATCATTATTTTTGAACAATATTTTTTTTAAACAATAATAATAATTCCTGAGTAACACTTTTTTGAATCAAAAATATATATATTTTTTTGTAATATCTGTGATATTTTGAGTTTGTAGTAGGTAGAGAATGCTGCTATCAACTATTGGCCATAGAGCATCTTTATTTATGAAATTCATTAGAAATTATAATTGTGCACAATTACAGCGATTTTAGAAATATAATATTAAAAATGTGTACATACCCATTAATATTTAATTTGACTTGTGTGGAAAGGTGATTTTTATTTTCTGATCAAAATTTTTATTATTTAATTTTTTATTCATTTTTATTTATTATATTTATTATTTTTAATCATTATTATTTATATAAAACTGTATCACTTAATGACTGATTATTATTTTTAATCGAATAAAACATCAAAGTCAACTTTGAATTTTTATTTTTGGATCAGTATGATTTTTAAATTAATAATCAAACATTTTAAAAAAATTGAGATTTTAAACCGTACATCTAAATGAATTTACTATAATTTTGAAAAACAGAGCTTCAAAGATACAATTTACAGTAGTATAAAAACACATTTGTTTATACAATACCTTGAAGCCGTGAACATCTATTTCCATTTGTTGATGACTTAATAGTACCATTTATATGGTACATTTAATACGGAAAGGAGGTGAAGTCAAATTAAATACTATTACAATAATATTTTATTACTTACACCGACAACTCGACCCACTTTGTGGTCAAAGCATTAGATACAAAAGGGGGGCGGGGTGGCCGAATGGGCTAACGCGTGTTCACAGCACCGAGAGTTGCCCGGCAACCAGATAACGTAATTTATGAGATTAAAAAAGTTCGCGTCCCGGTGGCGGAAGAGATTTTAAATCTCTTTCAATATCAGGCAATAAAACACTGTATAGCCTGAGAGGCAAGGTAGGGAGACCAATTAAAAAAAAAATATTTATTTGTTAAATTAGTTTATTTTATTTCTTTTTTTACTTTGTATACATTCATATTTTGTATCTTTTTTAGCCTTGATGAATACCTACAAAGTGGATCGACGAGTCGGTGTAACTAATAACATACTATTATAGTATATATTATTTAATAAAATAATTCAAAACAATGATAATCTTTATATGTGAATATTTCCTCAACATGGCTTTGACAGACATGCGTACTTAGGTGGCTTTATTTTCTGTTTTGAGATCCTTAATTCATATTTTTAGTTAGGGCATATAACTCTGAAAGACCTTTTATTCAGCGCAGAATATAGTTGCCTTTTAAATAAGTACTTATTTAAAAAATGTATCAAATTTTTCGAAGAATTTATTTATTTTTATGTTTTCGAATCTATTTTACTTTACTCCGATGAGAACGTTTTTTATCAAACCATCCTTATCGCACATCATAACCTGAACTACAATGTAAAATGTCTGTTCCGTAAATATTGTCAGTTCTATTTCATTCTTTTATATGCATAGATTTAAAACTTAGGTATATTTCACTTATATATTTTTCTTATTATTATTTTACAACCTAATGGATATAAATATAACGGACACTTACCGTTTCCACAACAGATGCCTTCACAATCTATTCACTACCACTGCACCCGTAATGGTCTCTCTCTCCCAAGAGACTGAGTCCTTGAAGCAGCACGGCCATTATATAGATGAATCATACTTCAGCTGAGAACACTTCTAATTTATTACACAAACAGTTGGAAGAATAATTCCTATTATGGCATCGATTCTGATCTCTTATCTTCCTCTTGCGTTTCCATGGATTAAGAATCTGGTGCGCGCATCACACGCGACTTTCACTTACCCCTCTCTTTTTAGCAGGAATAAGTATTTTCAGAAAAAGAGAATTGAAAGTAAAAATCAAGCCCTACCGCCATCATTTCCACCTTAATTAATTATTTAATTCAGAGTATCAACATTACAGAGGCTGAGTGTGCCATAGGAGGGTCCCCTGACCTCAGGGTTCATCCACGGCTGATGAATATGATATACATGATATCAGTCTGATCCTAAGCTTAGCAGCTCAGTGCCTAACTATCTGAGTTACTTCGCACATTCAAGTTGTTGAACTTTATATATTTAAAACATACATTTTACTTTACTTTTTTTTAACTTCATCTATTAAAAAGTTAGAGAAATACTAACTTTAAGTTTAAATTCCAGTATTTTGTATATTCCAGTATCTTTTTTCATGCTACTTTTATTACCTCAATAACACTCCCATCTAATTTTTCCCAACAGTCAAAAATATAGGAGTAACTATTGACGAGAATCACTCCTGGAATAAGCATATCATCCAGATTACCCGAAAACCCATAACTGTCCTTAAACAACTCCTAAGATTGCGTGATTGTATTCATCTAAATACCAGACAGCTCCTTGTAACCTCGCTTATATTCCCCCACTTCGACTACGGCTTCTTGGTGTATGGAGGCTAGGCTAGAAATGAGACCGAAGAGACTAATGAACTGTTTCATAAGATACATGTTTGGAATTCCCAAGCGTTTTCATGTTTCCTCCTAGCACACCGAGCTGAAGTGGCTTTATCCCACTTCCCGACAATTCCTTCTTGGGGTTTTCCTTCTCGAAGTTCTCAGAATCAAAAACAATACCGACATTCTGGAACTCCTTACTTTACGTTCATCAATCTACTTTCGCAATACAAGGTCTCAAACTATAGATATATATGTCCCCTCCCATAAAACTTCTTCTTAAATCCTTCGTCATTCGCGTTATCTCCTTTTGCAACCCTCTACTTCCATACGTCGATCCTCGTTCACAAATTCGTTCAAACAACTCCTGCTCCATATTCAAACTTCCATAAACATGCAAAATCTACTTGCATCTATAAACTGTATAATATAAAATTGTCCAAGAGACAGATTGTAATATTTTTCAATAAATAAGTTTTAAAAAAAAATTAAATCAATTGCATAATCGCAACAGCAAACAACAGTTAATTATGCATTATTTTGTATTCTTCTAAGACTGATACATATGTCACTCTGTTATTATTCTTAGAGGACTATGGCCCCAGAATAAAATTACTTTTTCAATTCATTTCAAAAACTGTCACAATTTTCGTTATTACACAGCTCTTCATATTTTTTTTTATTTAGACATATAATATTCTGTCAGAGGGGCAATAATTATATTGATAAATGAACACATTCACACCGTATATACAAAAAAGAAACAAAATTAACAAAAGTAAAATAATAACTAAATAATAATAAATAAAAACTATATACATTAAAAAAATAAAATAACCTAAATATAAGTAAATTAAAAACATAAAAATACAGTCACACCTATATACAATATATACAATCAGGCGGGGAACCCAAATTCCTGCGCTACTCTCTTAACCGCCTCACTGGTGCTAAAGCCGGTGGAGTATGAGCGAGAGCGCTCTTCATAATTGAATATCTAATATCTTCACGACGAGGTAAGTCATAAATGTGTTGTTGACGCGGCTAAAATACATTTTAGCCTTAAGTTTGGGGAACTAATTTCTATTTTTACATCCTAAAATTCTAATATAAAATTGATGAATTTTTCAAGAAACATTATTACAAATAAATAAAAATTATTTGTGGTCATGATTCATTAAAATTAACTTTAAAGTATCTAACAAACCCTCCAACTATGAAAGTATTATTAACTATTGAAATTTATTTTATATGTTTACAAACGTAATTCATTTTTTCTTTAGTAAAATCTGGTCACCAGAAATTATATGAGCGAATAATTCATGAGAAAAAAAACCAAAATACTGTTTTTTAACAAATAGTAACGGTCTTTGAAATGCATAAAAATGTTTCTCTTCACAATATCAAAAGTGAATCACTCCATCAACAGATGTTTCAAGTGGCAAATTAATATTTGTATACGACCATATATGTCTGCATGACGATCTTTATGATATTTAAACACTCAAGATAATAATTGTTTATTTTTTCTTTAAAAAAAAAAAAAATATCGATTATATTAAATTATGACGTTTCCATTTGTAAGAACTCCATTCAAGGTTAAACTCATTGTAATAATTACTACCCATTCATGTTGAAGCAGTTTTGTCTGAATTATGTAAAATGTCACATTAGGATACAAATTGTGACAATAAGAAAAAAAATTAATTAACGTGTATTCTAGCATCTGGGAACAAACCGTTACACTATTTTTTTTTCAAATAATTATTTTATTTACATATACAGTCGACACCACGTTAAAGTAACGAATGTTAACCTGCAAGTGAGCCTTTCATTTGACAGAATGAACCAACTCCAATTTCAACATTTTTGAGTAAAGTCATTTGTGATATTTCTATTTGAAAATTTATAATATCTGTACAGATATTGAGTAAGTTGATTCCAGACTTGGTTATTGCAATGTTGAAATATAGAACTGTCGATAAAGGTATACATTTTCCCACTAGAAATATCCCGAAAATTAGTAATAAAAAAATTTGAGTTCACTCTGTCAACTGAAACGCTAAATTAAAAAATAGTAAATATTTTTATTGTTTATATAACTCAGATCACTCATAGAAACAAATTTGGACCAATAAAAGATAAATATTGATGGTTAGCTGTAACAAAAGTGAAGAGAAATTCGTTAAGGTGTTCAGTAAAAAATAAAATAAAAAATAAATTATATTTTTATATTTTGGAACTTCAGTCCAAAAGCTTCCTTGTGTATCTGCCAGAAGCATAATATACAACTCATAAAATTTACTTATTTACATACATATAATACAGGTGCACATACACGTACATTTTTTTAAATATATTAGAGGCACACATACTTTTTGTATTTTTTTTTATTAATAATGAATTTATGAAATATTTTTTGGAATGTAAATTGTAATTTATAACTAGGAACAGGTCTTTAAAAAAAAAAATCAATTATGTCTTTTTCCTGTATGTGTATTTAATGTAGACCTATAAACCTAATAATACCAATAAGTTATACAGTTAAAGAATAAATAACTGTCAACGTGTCACCAATTCAGGCATTATCATGACAGAAAATAAAAAGAAATCCAAGATCGCAAGAAGCTCATAATCAAACAGCTGATTTATTAGGATCAGCTGTTCGATTATAACCTCAAATTTCTTCCAGTTTGGATGCCATATTGATGTAATCTTGGGTTTTTCTTTGCTGTGCTCATACCTCAATTGTAGAAACTTATTTAATACATAAGGCTGTATGGTTAGAATTTTTCCAGTTATAACTTAACACTGAATTTATATCTCTTGGTGAGTTTTCATTTTATCAACGTTCAATTATAGATATGCATATCTTAGTGCAAAAAATATTTGCAAGATAGAAAATATTACTTTAGATTAGGAACGTGCCTCTCAACGAAATCAATAATATCCGGCCCTAATACTTCAATCATTCCAGGCTCACTTATAATGTCTCTGTTGAACCCTTCTTCCCCGTCAGTCGCCAGAAGTTTCCCCATGTCGAAAGGTTCTGTCGATGAACAGAGGAGAGCAGGATATAATGGAATGAAAGAGGCGAGTCCCATGAACTCGAGTCGGTTCATTGTATCGGTTATTTCTTCAAGAGTGGGCTTGGTACCAGTGAAACCGAACTTGTCCAAAGTTCTGACCAAGGAGTCGTGGTAAGTCTTCAGTAAGAGGTCGTAGTTGCTTCGACGTACATGAGGCTTTACACCGAGGTAGAAGAAATTGGTAACGTCCATGCATGGAGTGTCGTAACGAGGTAATTGGTAATCCAGAAATCTGAAAAAGTAATAATAATCAAAGTCTAGAAATATTTTATAAATGCACAGTTCTATATAAGAAGAAATTATAGTTTTTCATATTTAAGGCAATAATACTTCAATTTTTTTTTAATTACATTTGTTGTCTCTTACGTTTCGGGACAATTTTCCCATCATCAGAGCAATCTTAATCTTTACTGAAATTATGAACATTTTATATTAACTTTTATTCAACAATATCATTTTACTTCATCTATTGTACAATTATTTACTTTTCTTTTTTTGATGTGTTACATTTGTCAAAAATCAAATATTTGTCACATTTTTTAAAACTATTTTTTGGTGTTACACATCTTTATATATTGATTGATACACTAATCAACATCTGGCTATCCTTAGTTTTATTTCTGTACTTTGTACCTGTCCTCTTATTTCTTATTATGGCTGTTTGTTGTGATTTTTTTTGGCTATTGTTGCTTTTTTGAATTTTAATATTGGATATTATGTCCGAATAGTGTGTACCTAAATGTTTTGTATCTGTTTTATAGTTTACTGTTCTATTATTGTTTCCTGTTATATGTATAGCTTCCAGCAGTTTCCTATTATTTTTTTTAGGTTCTATTGCTAGTATTTCTGGGTTTTCGAAGTCAAAAGTGTGTAGTGATTTAATACTATGGTTTGCTAGGGCTGTTATGTTAATGTTTTTACTATTTTTGCAGTTTGATGTATGTTGTGCTATTCTGGTTTTTAGTTTTTTTGAAGTTTCACCTATGTATATTTGTTGGCAATGTTGGTAGTCTAATTTATAAAAAATATTTTTCATGTCCAGTGGTTCAACCTTGTGTTTTGTGTTTGTAAGTATTTACTTAATTTTTTGTCGTTATCTATGCCAAACTGGATTTCCGGTAGGTCATAGTTCATGAATACTTTTTTAATTTGTTTTGTAAGTTGTGGCATGTATGTCATTTTGTTAAATATTCTTTTATTGTGTATTTTGCTTACAAAATACACAATAGATAGTTTTAAAAAATGTGACAAATATTTGACTTTTGACAAATGGTGCCACATCAAAAAAAGAAAGGTAAATAATTGTGCAATAGATGAAGTAGAATGATATTGTTAAATAAAATTTAATATAAAATGTGCATAATTTCAGTAAAGACAAACATTGTTTTGATGATGGGAAAATTGCCCCGTAACGTAAGAGACAACAAATGTAATTAAAGAAATTTGAAGAAGTATTATTGCCTTAAATATGAAAAAACTATAAACGTAGGCTTCCTAATAAAAAAAGAAAAATAAGAAGAAGTTATAATTCCCTGTGTAGTGCCAAACAGAGCAAACTGCCATTAAATAGAAGAGATGAAATAATATTAACTCGACTATGGATGGGACACTTCCTCAGTGTATTTCCTGTGGGGCATATCTCGATGAGTATTGTGTATATGAATCACATCATAATGAAGTCGAGTTAGAAAATTGTATTGTTACAATTTGATAAAAAAAAAAAATCAAATTTATCGTTAATTTTTATATTGTGTAAGGATTAAAATGGTCTACAAGTGGTTGAAAAGTAACCGGACTGTTATAAATAAATCAATTTAATTTCCCTAAATAATTTCAAATTTGAGCTATAGTCCGTGGTACAGACCCCTTTTTATCGAATGAATAACATCCGCCTGAAACTTTGTAAATAGTTTCATCTCATCGTAACCTACAACTATTTTATTTAAGAAAACTTTTAGAATTGGCAAACTTTCTCTATTTAATTAGGTACTAATTGGATCGTAAAATAATTTGATTACAAAATCGAGAAAAAAGGTGGCCATCAAAAATATTGAGTGGTTTGGCGTGACCTACACCCCCAAATTTCCAAAATAACGGGGTCATATTGGACAAATGACACAATATTTTTGTAGGCCACATTTTTTATCGATTATATGATGAAGTTATCTTGCGATTCAAATAGGAAGCAAATGAGTATTTACGAGTTTTTATTATTTAATTAAATAGACAAAGTTTCAGTCTCCCTACAGATTGAAAACTCCCCAATTCCAAGAGTTTTCGTAAATAAAATAGTTGTAGGTTACGATGAGATGAAACTATTTACAAAGTTTCGAGTGGATTTTAATAATTCGATAAAAAGGGGGCTGTACCACGGACTAATAGGATAAAGAACTTACAAGAGTGATTATTTTTTTAGAATATAAATGTTGTAAAATTGTTGGTTGTGGTTAGTTATTTTATTAACCTATATAAATAGAAATGTAAATGTTCGTTTGTTCAAAACCGCTAATCTTAGAAACTTCTTCACCGATTGTTTGAAATTTTGACATAACTTTTCTAAAGGATACAAGAGTGTTTTTATATATATTTAGTTGCCCTTCAGCCTTTCGTTTCGAAAAAGCGATCAAAAAACTTGTGTCGCTAAATACTGTAGTGCCTAAACGGCTGTAATGATTTTAAGTAAACATGGCTAAATTCTTCTCATTGAAGCCCTTTTAATTTATGTATATAATAGTCTTCCTCGAAAATGAAAAAATGAGTTATCATGGATTTGGAACTATATTTGCGAATAACATGGTTATTCGAAAACTTTCTGCATATCCTGCAAAAAAAAAATCACTAAAATCAGACGATTTTGTTCTGAGATTTATAGACAGATTGGATTACTTCTCACATATATAATAATATTTTAGGTATTGTGGAGCTGGAAAACCAGACAATTTCCATATTTATACAAAGAATGGAACACTAAAAAAAATATACATATCCACAAATATGTGAAATAAATTATATTTGAAACATCTTCTTTCGTTTTTATTTATTTTTCTATTCATAACCACACTGAGCCACAAAAACACGCGGCTGAGTACAGCTAGTAAGTTCATAAACTTAAAGGATTCAACTAATAAATGAATAACAGATAAATTTACTTTATAAAGTAACTGCCTTTCCAATTTGCTTATTTTAAACGAATTCTATGATCGTCCACACGTTAGATTTTTAGAGAAATGTATATATAAAATTACTCACTTCACTGATATAGGTCGCTTCATAAAGTCGTATTTGAACATCATATTGTTTGACCAGCAATCGCCGTGAATGAGAACTGTAAATTTTGTTTCAGTTTGAATATTTCCAATTTTGACAAGCATTTCAGCGAATGGATCAAATGGTATCATCAGTTTCTTTGCAGTCTCTTCCCTTAAAAAAAAAAATCTTATTGATATTGTGATTAATTGTTGATGATTTAATTTATAACAAAGTAAGGAGAGGTACGTAACTGGAGTAAGAACTGGATACGAGAGGTTACGTTGGATCCGTCGTATATATGAGTCTATTAGAATCATTTGGCAACTCAGAGAGTATAGTGCAATCAATGAATAGTTATATAAGGAAATGGTGGGGACACATTTTTTGACTTTGAGAAATTGTTTGGACTAATAAGTAAGTAAACATACTAAAAAATAAAAAAGCCAAATGTGGGAGAGGGAGGTTCCTAGAAGGTAATATTTTTCGGATTTTCGTTTATATCAGAAAAACCATCCATCGCATCGACCAAGAAGTTCTGGACAAAATTATAGATGATAAAATTTTTAATATAATTGATAATATTCTTTTTTTCACTATCGCGCATAATTTCCAAGATATCTATCTTCAACTACGGTATTTTGGAAAAAAAAAATATTTGTCTTATGTTTATTGCTGTAATTCCGGTTTTAATAAAGAATTAAAATTCTTCATTTAGGAAAATTATCCATTGCATCGACAAAGACACCCCATACAAAATTATCCAGTGTCTGGATAACTATTTAACTCTTTGTCTTTTTCCTCCTGGAGTACCATTCAGCATCATTTTCGGAAGTCTACTGAGATCCATTCTTTCAACACGAACCAGACATCTGAGCCTGCCCTCCTTAATAACACTAAGCATGTCTGGCTCACCATATAGTTTCATTAACTCTATGTTACTTCTTATTCTCCATCTATGTTGCTCCTTGACAGCTCCAAAGATCTTCCTTAGGATGATTTTTGTCCAGGATGATTAGGATGACCGTCCAGAACAGCAAGACTCTCCTGTTTTCCTTGGTCATAATCCACGTCTCACTGCCATACAAACCGACCGGTCTAATCACCGTTTTATATTATACTATTTTTTTCTTTCCTGTATAAACTTTTGTATCGGAGCGCCTTTTTCAGACCATAGAAACATATAGTTCTTGCAACTATCCTGCCTTTTATTTCTGCTTCCAAATTATTGTTTTCTGTCACTGCTCCGTCCAAGTACTTAAATTTATCACAGTTGCGAAAAGTGTCTTCTCCCAATTCTATCTCTCTGTATGTCGGAATGTTTTCATATAACTTATATTATATTATATATATATATTTACAACTTTTCCTTAATCGACCTTTGAGTATTAAATTTAAACTTAAATATTTAATTGGGAATAAGGTCATTTAATTATTATTTAATAAACTATTGAATGTTCATTTCTTCTGTTTATTGACGTTTCGATCCCGTTATTTTCTTTTTATTAGTCAACCATGGGATCATCTTCAAAGCTAGAATTTTAAAAAAATAGAGCTTCGATCAGGCCAGGGACACACCGACAGTCTCAGCACCGTCCACTAGCACATATCTTAAGCTACTTAATATATCCCACTTAAATAGTTAAGTTTAAATATATATATTTATATATATATATATATATATATATATATATATATATATATATATATATATGTATGTATGTATGTATGTATGTATGTATAGAGTGTCTTATTCGATTTGTGATAACGTATATATACATAGATACTTAGATTAATAAAGCAATATAATAACAAAAATTTTAAAAACTAAATTTTTTCTGCAAATTCTATTGACATATAATAGAAATTCTGCAATTTTATTCTAAATTGACATATAAAGCTATAATTGATCTAAATTTTTAACTGTTGAAGATAAACTTATAAAATAATATATATTCTTGAAGAAATTATAATTATTTAAAACTTTCATCTCCTTGACTTAATCGTAGAACAAAGCAATCAAGATAGTCAAATATAGTAAAAAACATTCTCCACATTAGCGATGGTTGAGGACGGATATCTCGGAAAACAAGCTAGATAGCAAAAAAAAAGTATATCATCAATCATATTGGAAATTTTATCAGCTTTAATTTATTTAATAGAAGATCTTTTTTTATGCGATGGTTAGTTTTCCTGATATAAGAGAAAACTCGAAAAAAAAAAGTAACCTTCTAGGAGTCACCACATCTGGTTCATTACTGAGGAGTGGGGACTTTTTGTATGTTTACCGCCTCACAAGTCGCCGCCATTTCCTGCTATACTCCTTTTTCGAGCATTCATTGACTCGACTAATATGTCTAGTAAGTGTTGAAGTAGCCAGAGACATCGAGAGGTTTCTTATAGGATTCAGGTGGAGTTCTAGATATCGGATTTGTTCAACAGGGTTAAGAAGAGTATTATTAAATAATACTGTAGGACAGGAAGTCATGGGATTATTTATGTAATTTACAACTATAAATATTATGTTTGTAGTCATAGATATTAAAGCTTACCATTCAGGACCCCAGCTCTCCTGCATACCTTTAGCGAGATTTATAAAACCTGCGTAAGGTATCGCTTTGATAACTTTTGTGTTACTAAAAATTTCATTAGACTTATAGTTGTCTTTGGAGATGATTCCTCTCTGTTCGAGAACCTTAGCCATTCCGTGGTACTTCCCCAAACCTCTGAGAGCGAGGATGGCATGGTCTAAATCCAAACCTTTCTGCCTCGGAACCACACTGTAACCACTTGCCTAAATATATAAAAATCATATATGACTATGAAACAACTAAATATTACTGAAATAATATCATTTTTAGTCATATTTACATTTAGGTCTTCCAGAAGTATATAAGATAAGCGCGGATCATAGTGAATAAATTTACACCAAAGAGGCTCATCAGTATCTTCGAATTCCTCCATTAAATAGTTCATTTCTTTGTGTATTACAGAATATATCTGAAAATATAACATCATTATATAAATAGGCAAACACAAACCAGTTCAGCCCCTTTTACTCCTCCATTTTTCAACCGATTTTCTTCCATCGTTTTTTGTTTAATAGATATTGACGAGATTTAGTGTTACCAATAAATAAAAATATTAAACAGTATGTAAACAAAAATATAAATGGTAGTTTGTTCAAAACGGCTTATCTCCGAAAGTTCTTCACCGATTTCTATGAAATTTTGACACAACGTAGCAATAATATTTAGAAGTTTTTTTGTATCAACGCTTTTCGAAATGGAAGCCGAAAAACGTGATTCACTTTAGACTGTAGCGCCAATACGGCTTCATCGATTTCAATGAAACTTGGCTAAAGTCTTTCCCTTGAAACCTTTATAATTTATGTATATAACATACTTTTCCCAAAACAAGCTGCATACATTTTTAATAACTCAAAATGTACAATTTTTTTTCATTGATAATACCAATATTTATTTGAAAACTTCCTGAATTGCCTACAAAATAAAAAAAAAATCATCGAAATCGATAACAATTATCTCCCAAATAAAAGACATCGTAGGAGTGAAGTGGGTTCAAATATTTTTTTAAGGAGGAACAAAGCTGAGATTTATATTTTGCACCTCGATAAACTCCCAATTACCAATTTTCACTGGAATTGAAAAATAAACATTTTTCGCGTCAAATTTTCAAGGTAATATATCTGAAAGTATAATATCATTATAAATAATTGTTTACATCACCAATATTATACGGCAAAGTAAACTCAAACCTAGGGATGATACGGAATAGTGGAGCCGTTCCAAGGAACCTAATACCGTTTGGAACGACTCCAACATGAATAACAAAACGATTCCTGATGGAACTGTTTAAACTCTACCGTATCTTATTAGCATCAATTAGTTTATTAGCTCCAATGCCCAGTTTCACAATTCCTATGTTGTTTCTATTTATCAGGCGTTTCGTAGATTCGACTGGAGGCAACTAATAGAAATAAATCCATTCATTTTATTCAATTTATTTTTCATATGTTTATTTTTCATATCATAGATGGAGACACTTTTTATCATTGGAGGCCGCAATAATTTTTTCATATTTTATTTTTGCTATTTTTATTTATAAATAAATACAAGCAAACACTCACATATACACACATGAATATATTCAACTTAGCTCCATTAATTTTAAATTTTTCGTAACCTAAATAATCGAATATTAAATAATTACAGAGTTACATTAATGAATACCGTTTAAACCTTAATGGAGACCATTTGCGGACTAATAGTAATGTATATATACATGTTTCATAATTGCACTGCATTATTTTAGGTATGTGTTCACTAACACAAAATAAAAAATTCTTATTAACATATATCTCAAACTCATTTATTTTACAGATAACAAGGGTTAAAGATTTATTATTTAATTACTACATTAAGACTGACTGTACCAAGTGTTTAATACTAAATAACAGGGTTTAATCACCTGATAAACAAATGAAAAATAAGCAATGGCAGTAGTTGCTCATCTGTTTGTCTAGTTCTGTGTGATTTAGTATCAATTTATGATCATCATGGGCGACACCATAAATTTATTCAATTTTGCAGAACAGTAATAAACTGATAGTACAGTGGTAGACATGCTGTAAAAAACTCAATGGAAGTGAAGCAAATGCTTCAATGAATAAATAAAATAGCCTGTAAGTAAATATATTTTGGTATGTTCTGATGCAGAACATTTATTTACCATTATCAGCTAGAAAAAATGTAATCAAAATAATTGAAAAACATTGGGATACAATAGAACCGCATACCCAAATTAAAGGGTTTTATGGAAGACATGGATTAAAATGTCTCAGAAGCTAAAAATCGAACCTGCATACTGTAAACGAGGGAAATGTTCAGCATTTTATCGTCTTTATAATGAACTATTATTCATAATCTCGCCTGGTTGCTGTTTTGAATTCTATCATGTGATTTAAAGTAACAAATAGTTTTTTTATTGAAAATGAACTTTATGGCATGAAAGTAAGCATTGCATTATTTTAATCAAAAATACTATACAGGTCTGGTCGTTTACACTAATTATAATACTTTTTACCAGTATTTCCAGTATTATACTACAGTTTTGAACTGTAACGGTTGGAACTAAAACAATATTCTTTCATCCTGTTCCTTATTGATTTATAACGCTTACTGTTAATAGTTTTAAAACCTGATTTTGGAAAAAACACCGTTATTTAATTTTATCAAAGCTTACCTGGCTTTCTTGTTTAGTTACATCGTGTTCTTTCACGAATTCTCCTTGCGCTCCATCAGTGATCATCTGCTTCATGATGAAGGACTTCTTAGCCAGTCTTCCATTTCCCAAGACTACTTTCAAAGTTATCCTCAAGATGGTCGATGTGTAGTTTTCTCCTTTGGGCAAAGCTGGCACCGACTGGAGATCTAGTATAGAAGCGATCTTCGACTCCTTGTCCAACTTCTTCAGAACCACTTCAAGGACTTCTTTGTCCATTTCTACAATATATCATAATGTATAAATATATTAGCAATAAAAACTATGTTGTAAGCTCCTGTAATATCCTTTATTGTTATAGTGACATTTTATAAATGATAGGAGTTAAGAAAATACAAAAATAGGACGAGAACCCCAAACTCAAGTTCATTATCGACGGACAAAACTGCACAGGTATAAAAACGTTGTGAGATGTCCCAGTCAGGCAGCAGTTAAACGTTTAGTCGTCAGCAGTAAAATGATTACTCAGCACTCAACAGTGCAATGACTCAAGGACATCCACAAGTATACCTGGATAAGTCCCACAGCAGCGAAAGGCAAAATTCATCATGTACTGGTATAAAAAAAAAAAAAAAAAACTCAGAGCTCAATACAAGAGTAAGAAGGAAATACGAAGTCCGCAGTTTGAAAATTAAAAAAAAAAATCTATACTGAGCTATAACTCGAAAAAAATTGAACTCTTGGACTTAATAAGAACGGGGCTAAAAGATAGAGGATGGTAAAGGAGGATGGTAGTTATTCAAATGAAACGAAAATCTAAGTAGTAATGCTAAAAAGCAGTAGAGAAAAGAAGAAAAACGAAACTCCTCAGTCACAACTGATCAAGCTACTCTGTACAATTATAAAAGCACCAAGAAAATGGAAATTTCTCAAATTGAATACTGGATAGTTGACCGTTGTAAATAATTGGTGAAGCAGAAGTTCCGCGGTGGCGGGCATAAAAAAAAATTAAAATAGTGAAAAACTATTTTATTTCAAGCCAACATTTGGACCCAACTATACAGGTCTTCTTCAGAGCTAGAGCGAAAACAAACAAAAAGACATAGAGAAATGTAGGAGTTACATGAAAATTACGAACTCTATGAACAGAAAGTATATAAAATTATTAATTGTGGGTTGATGGTTGACTGTAGTGAATAATGGGTTATTAGTCAAAATAAAAATGGCAAAAATAAACAATAACATTTATTTTAACGTTTTGACCCGAAGTTCAACCCTGACTAAGGCCTGAACTTTGGGTCGAAACGTCGGCAAATGTTAAAATAAATATTACTATTTATTTTTGGCAATTTTATTTTGACTGATCATCCCAACCATGCTTCTCTTTATAACATTATTAAATGGATCTAATAATAAAGTAAATAAATATAATTAATTGATTCATTCATATGTTTACTTAATTATGATTCATTTAATATTTTTACTTTGTTATTAGATCCATACTTTGTTCTATTCATAATGTTTGTAATTTTCATGTTACTTCCACAATTCTTAATATCTTGTTTGTTCAATCCTGAAGATGTTCTGGATAGTTGGGTCAAAACATAGACTTGATATAAAATAGTTAGCACTAAACTTGAATCACATATTTATATATATATACAGATTTTATTCCATGTCACTCATCATATACAATATTAACACAATACTATACTAATATAATTAAAATTATACAATATATACATTTCAGTTAAACTGATATGTAACAATATCTGAAATTTATAGAAAAAAAAATAAACAAACAATAAAAACTTTTAAAAAAGGAAATATGTAGAGATATCGAAAGAAGTGAAACAATTGTATTATTTAAAGGAAAACTGGATTATAACGCTGATTATTTCAAGCAATTCACTACTTTCTTTACCGTAAGTGGACTTATCTTTTATGACAATAGAAAAAAAAAAGGAACATTCAGTATTGTTAGGGAATACGAGTATTATTTGTAAACTATTATCAAATAATTTTAAAAAAATATTGATTTAATTTTGCTTGAATAAATTTGGTCCCTAACTATTATGTATTACAAAGTACTATGCCATGTGTGAAACAAATAAATAACAGTAGTATAGTAGACTCGTACCTTATCCACAACAGATGCCTTCACAATCTATTCACTATCACTCTATCCGCGCAGTTCCCTCTCTCCCATCAGACTGTGTCCTTGTAGCGGCTCGGCATTTATAAAGCACTCAACACTGACGAATCCATTGTAGGGGAGAGAGGGGGGACTTTTGAGCTGAATCCTCTCCTGCTCCCCTAAAATGGTAATATATATATATATATATATATATATATATATATATATATATATATATATATATATATATATATATATATATGTATATTTCTTTTCATTGGACCATATTTGTTTCTGTTAGTGATCTGAGCTTAATACTTACCCACAGCATGTCTTCTTTTTAGTTATAATACATATATTTCAGCTACTATATGTAAGCACTGTGTGAAGTAAAAAAAAAATATAGAATAGAATAGAAAATAATTTTATTCTGGGACAAAGTCCCTTCACAATAACGAAAAAGTACAAAATTAAAATGTTATATCTGGTCAAATAAAAACAAACATAAAAAGTAAAGATAAAGATAAATCAGTAAAGAAAATATTAGTTATACATACTATATATAAAATAAAAAATTTATATAAAAAACTCTTGAAACCTTGCCAAGACACATAAATTATGTACAATGGTAAAATATAAATATACATTCTTCTTAGCAGTAAACTCTGTGTTTCTGTTGAAAAAAAAGAAATTCGAATCTGATATTAAGTATTTGAGAGATGAACTATATGCAAATACATTATTATGAATAATATGTAATTTTACATAAAAGATTAGTGGTTATCTGACTGTTTTGTGACAGGAATCGGAATAGAAGGATTTTGAATGTAAATAGGAATGAAGATTGCCTTATTTTGATAGGAAGGGAATTCCAAAAATTAACAGAGCGAGCAATAAAGGAGTTTTGGAACGAGGCAGATCAGTGAGAAGGAATATCAAGGTCGGAAGGTAGAGATCTTGTGCAAAGGGAGTGGACTTGAATTGGGGAAGATTGTAGGCGTAGGAAGGACAATGATTGTTGATGATATGATAGAGGAATGTACCTAGGAAATATTGTCTTCGAATGGAGGGGAAGAGCCACTCTAACTCAGTGTAGTGGTGAGAGACATGGGAGTATTTCGGTGCATCAATTACAAATCTCACGCAACTGTTCATTAATCTTTATATATTAAATTATTATAATATAAATTACATATATATTAAAGTAAATTTGACATGGAGAGAAACTACCTATTGATAGCACTTAAATTATAGTTCTATATATAGTTTTAGGACTGCTAGAAATCGAAGAGAATGTAAGGTTTGAAACAAGTGGATTCGGACATTTAATATAGATTTTATTGTTTTCATTTAATTAATAAAGTAGTCAATAAATAAATAGGTTTTATTTATTTCATAAATAACGTAAATAATTCATAACAACGAAAATCTTTAGGTGTGAATATCTCATAAACAAACCGTTTGCGGACATACTTTCAGAGGAATTTTTTTTCATGTTTTGAGGTCCTTAGTTCATTTTTGCAGTTTGGCAACTTAACCCTGAAACACTCTGTATAACTCATCGATTAAAGTTAAAAAAAACATCCGCTGTGTCCACTCACACGACTTCCCTACCTATTTCAGAAAAGTTTTTATATTTGTACATATGTCAATTAATAAACAAAAAAAAATTAAATTACATTAACTTTCATGAAAATATATAAGTATTTAAATATTAACTATCCTTAAGAGATAGGATAAAAAGTGAAAGTATACAAAAAATGCTTTATTTTCTTGTGTGACGACGTTTTAGGCCGTCATCAGGAATAAGTTACAACAAGAAAAAGAGAAAAACACATACAAATAAAATAAAATATTAAGATAATGGAAATACGAATACATAAATAAAAAATAAAAAATAATCTGGTTTATGCACTCACACGACTTTCCTACCTGTTTCAGAAAAGATTTATATCTTTACATATGTCCATCAAGAAACAAAAAAAAAATTGAACTAGATTTATTTTCCTGAAAACTGATCAAACATAAGATTTGAGTAAGATTTATTTGATAAACTAAAGCAATAATTTCTGTTAAAAGAAGAGGAAATAGTGAAGCTTGTGTGATGTGGGCAACAGATTTTCTTACTTTCACTTAGTCATCTTTATTCTCTCATTCACCCCTTTCTGACACCAGGATATGTACCCGCAATCTTACATTGGAAATTGAATAGCTGTGACTTCGTTAATAGTTGTCCGAAATGAACGATGTTTATGTAGTTTTGTAACGAATTTCATTATCTTAAAAAAAAAAAAGGCTAAACTGTGTGTTTTTTTAGATCCGTCGAAAACCGCATATTGAAAATTTGACCCGATCGCAATACTTTCCTTATCTAGTATAGGCAGAAAAGTAATAAATTAAAACATGTGTACGAAATAGAACAAGCAGTATCATCGTTAATACTGGTTCGATTCCGATTATTTTATTTTTGGTTTGTTGGTAATTTAATTACCTTTCAAAAGATATATTATAAATTTTGTAATTTAGTATAGAATATATACTTAGCGAGTTAGGCCCCAAAACAATTTTTCTTTTCTTTATAACTTTATAACTCGAATTTTCTTGGGAATTTAATACATGTACGAAAATTGAAAGGACAATAATTAAAACATTATAGGAAAATTTCATAAAAATCGTTAGAGCAGTGTTTGCGCTACAGTCTATAGAAAAACATGTTCTTAATTTACTGAGCAGCAGCTATTGTGCATGGAGTACCCAATTTGTCATAGGCATTAGTGGTCAAAATCTTATAAAATAAAAAAAAAAGAAGTAACAAAATCGGTTCACTAGTTCCTGAGAAAATCATGGCACAGACAGACCAATGGCTAAAAATGTGTTTTTCGGAGTCAGGATGCTCTGAAACATATAGAACCGTCGAAAACCGCATATCGGAAATTTGACCCGATCGCAATATTTTCCTTAATTAGTGTAGATAGGAAAGTAAAAAAATAGTGTTTCTTTTTTCTAAAATGATATTAATTGTGAATCGTCAAATCTGTGTCCCGTAGGTAAAGCGCACCAAGTCTATTTTATTAAAACATAGTTTAATAACTGAGAAAGGAAATTTAATAACTCAAATTTATGAAAAATTGGTTGCCTGAACAAATATAAAAATGTTATTTGGGGACCTTTAAGTCCGGAGTACAAATTTAGTCACTCAAATATAGATTTTATTAACTTAAAGTTGTGGGACATTAGTTCCTCTCAACAAATACATAAATGGGCATGATGTTCTTTACCTCGTGGGTACAGATATCAACAGGCGTTTCAAGTGCCATATCAATATGTTTTGACCACCATATATGTCTGGGTGGTAATCTGTTGTTTAAACACTCAAGATAATATTCTTATAAAGAAAAAACTTACTATCTTGAGTGTTCAAAGAACAGATTACCACCTAGACATATAAGGTGGTCAAAAAATATTGATATGGCACTTTAAAGGGCTCAATTCAAAGTTAAACTTATTATAATAATTGCTACTCCTTCATTATGTGAACTTTGACTGTCAGATAAATATTGTTACATTAAAAAAATATTAGTTAATTTAGCTGAAGGAACATAGGTTATATGAAAAATGTTCCAGTTTTCTCTGGCTAAAAAATATCTGTATTACAAGGTATACAATTTTTCGTATGAGAATAAAATATCTAGAAGAAGCCGTTTTCGGAAATTCAGTAATCCCTCAACATATGCAGGTTTGATTTCCACGAATTTTGTTCATCAGAAAATATTAAAATGCAAAACAGTTCCTCATTTGCAGATTGCATATTTGATGATTCGCGATTTAAAAAAAAAAAAACATTCCATTGCATAGAGCATTGATGTATGCAAAAATTTAGTGCTTTACAAGGAAACATAAAAACTAATTGTTTCTTTATGATTTATCAGTATAACTCTGTCATTTTTGATCGTAACAGAATGCTTATATCAGTTGCAAACTACAAAATATATAAAGAAAGGAGATGGTCTGCGGTGGCGGCCATAAATAGGCTGAATAGTGGCAAAACTATTTTATTAAAAGCCAACGTTTCGACCCGAGTTTGTAGGTCTTTTTCAGATTCATTGGAAACGTTGGATTTTAATAAAATAGTTTTGCCACTACTTAGCCTTTTTATGACCACCAACCCGGACCATCTTCCTTTATAATGGACGGTCAACTATTGAATATTCAATACAAAATATATCACATTTAGCAGAAATAGAATAAAAGTTATAAATTTTGACATACAACCTTTTCTACTAATAGTTGTAATATATACTTAATAGCTACTTAATACTTAGTTTTTATTCGTAAAATAGATGAAACAAAAAAATCTATTTGAAAAATTCAACTTTTTGTTGGTTCCGAGTTAACGAGATCAATACTTTTTCCAGTTAGAACAAAACTTATAAATTAAGTTGGAATATGAAAATATTTGTGAAGTTCACATAACTTTGATTGAAAACGCGAGTGGAAATTTTTGATTCTCAGCACACATTTTTTTTAACTTCTCGCACGAATACAATACTTCGCTATCTTTGGTAGTAAGAAAGCTAAATGAATAAAATTAATTTATTTTTGTATCATAAAAATATAGAAAATATTATTACTAAGATATTAAAAAAATAAACTAATATTTCTCATGTAGGTGTTAGGTGTAAATATGATATAGAGGTATAATGTGCAAAAAAAAATTATTTGTTTTCCTTGTGAATATTTTTAATTTATTTTTTTTAAACTGTCGATTTTCGATAGTCCAATTTTAATATATATATATATATATATATATATATATATATATATATATATATATATATATATATATATATATATATATATATATATAAGTTAAGCGTCGGCGGACTTCAAAAATAAAAAAAAGAAAGGAAAAGGATCGAGAAACAACACTCGCGGCTTCTGAATAAACACTGCTTTATTCGTTCAATAATCTGCCTTATATACAGTTGTTATGTTTATTTACATTACAAGATGGTATTAAGGCTGATATCGCCAGTCTCCGGTCTTTATCTTATATATATATATATATATATATATATATATATATATATATATATATA